TCTTTTTAAATTTTTCCTTTTTTTCCCCTGGGGGCTCCTTATGTAGTCCAGACTAGCCTTGAATTCATGGTAATCCTCTTGCCTTCATCTCCCACATGCTGGATTATAGATGATGCCACCATACCCAGCTTGATTACCTTGCTTGAAGCTTTGGGGCTCAGAGCTGGAAGAGTTATTATTTGGGAAGTTGAGCAAGAAAAGAATGAATGTTGCTAAAGCTTAAATGTTTGCAGCTTTAGTAGAGGGGGAGGAAATAGGTGGTTCTCCTATTCCAAACTAATCATATGGGTAGACGGATAACCTTACCTAAGTGGATAGTCAGGTAGGTGAGTAAACACTGTGAAGCCATTTAGTTCTTGGAGGTCACAGATTTGGACAAATGGGTGTCTGTACTAAGTATGTGCAGTAGCAAGCAAAAGAGATCCAGTTTCAATACCCAGTGTAAAAGGAAGGTAGTTGTGCATATCACCAAACATTGCAAAGAGCCAGAGTAGAGGTGCTCAGAAGTGTCTGCAGGCTCCAGATTCTGCATCTTAACACAGGATCCTTCTGTACACTTTTGGGAACAACTCTCAAGAAAACTGGACTCTAATGTGCCCACCTATCGTGTTAACCAAGGTTAGGTGCCCAATCTCGTAGTCCACAAACTACCTGGTAGGGGAGGTGTAGCTACCTGTAGGTGGAACTTGGGCCAACTCCCCAGCCAGGGTCTTCTGTGTTATTTCCTAACATCCCATGACTTTTGAATGCATCATCCTACTTCTGCTACCTTCACACCACTCCCACTGCTGCATCTGGATGCAGGTGTAAGGAGGAGGAAGGATGTAAAGGCAGCAGCAGTTTATACCAAGCTTCAGGTAGTGGGCCTTGTTCTTGTTTGCAGTACATGTCTGGTATGTACTTTCACAAATTACAGCTGTGCAGTGGTATGTACCTTTAATCATCCGAGCTACCTGGGAGGTCCAGGCAGGAGGGTCATTTATGATGACAATACCATTGTTCTAGGCAACTTAAGAAACTGTCTCAAGATAAAAAGTATAGTACAAATGGCTGGCGGTTTAGTTCAATGAGTGCTTGGTTCCATCCCCAGTACCATCAAAAATAATGAAAACACCAACAAAATCATTTTTAGACTACTGAGGACATAGTTCTTACTTAGTCTATTTGAATAGGCACATAATCTAGAAGTGCTTCTGACCTACAGCAGTAGTCTTCCTCTTCCCTGGCCTGGCCAGAGCATCCAGGACAGACCCTCACTTAATATTACAGAATTTCAGATCTTTACCCAGAAATGGATTTACACTGCTTCTTGGGGTCAGTCAGTCTGTCTGTCTGTCTGTCTGTCTGTCTGTCTGTCTCTCTGTATGTTTGTCACACACTCTCTCTTTCTGTGTGTGTGTGTGTGTGTGTGTGTGTGTGTGTGTGTGTGTTTCTTGTTTCCTTAAATGAGTCATAGCAGCTCTGTAGCCAGGTTTGGTAGCTGTCTTAGTTACTTTTTACTCATTGCTGAGACAAAATACCTAAAGGCCAAGTTGGGAAAGGAAAGGTTTATTTCTTACAGTTTTTGGAGGTTTCACACACTCAGTTGGCTCCAGGGCATGGCTGGGCCACAGTTCATGGTGGCTGCAAACAGCAAGCAGGAACAGGCAAAGAGCAAGACACACCTTCTCCCTGCCATTACATTACATCCTGGCTCCACCCCTCTGTGGGTATAGCACTGACACCATCAATCCAAGCACTAACAATAAACCATCACAAATGCACAATACAAATACATGAAGCCTGGGGGCCCACAGACATAAACCATGACATTCCTCCCCTGGCCCCCAGGACTCTTGTACATCCTTTATACAAAAGACATTTAGTCCACCACCAAGAGTTTCCAAAGTCTTAAGTTTCAGCATTGCTGAACAGTCCAAGTCCCATGTCTCCTCCATGATCTATGGCAAACTCTTAACTGTAACCCCTGTACAAATGAAACAAGTTTAAACATTTCTCAAATGCAAAGGCACAAAATAAACATTACTATTCCAAAAGTTACAAACAGGGGAATATAAAGCATTGGAAACAAAGCAAATCCAACATCCAGCAGGATGAACATTAAGTCCTAGAGTTCCTTGCTCTGCATCTGAAGCAATATGGTTACAAGCTCCAAAAGGCTTGTGTGATTCCACCCCCAAGGCACTTCCAGGGATTTCACCTCCTGCAGCTTTTCTCTTAAATCCTCTCTGCTTGCTTTTTGGAGCTTTCCTTGGATCGTCCATGTTTCTGGCTTTTCCAAACTTTTGGGGTCTCCACTGCACCTTTGGCTTCACCTTTATGTCTTCACAAATTGCCCTCTCAGGGGCACACAGCTTGGCCTCCCAGGCCCTTTGCAATAGAGGTAGAAGCCATCTTACCCTCAGAATTTGTGCATTTTCCTAGCACCTAAGATCAGCACCATGTGGATGTTGCCAAGGTTTGCTGCTAGCTAGAGCAGTACTCAGGCTTTTCTCTCTCTTGGCTGTAGGGGTCAGTTGCCTGGATCACAGGGCTCTGTTTAACTGATTGTGAGGAAAAGCTTCTCTATGTTGCCACCATTCTGGAACCTCATGTGGCCTGTCACCATTCTGGAAACTCATGTGGTCTCTGTCGCCATTCTGGAACCTGGTGCTCTGCAGCTTTCTCCTCTGAAAAAATTCTTTTACCTTTGCAGTGAGGCTGCACAGGGTTGGGACCTGCTTCCTGGGATGCCCCCGGCCCATCTTTCTTATTTCTCTGTTTTCCCTCAGCCATCAGAATCTCCACTGTCTTTACAATCCACAGCCTTCCTGAAATATTCTTTCTGGCCAAACTCACAGTATTGCAAATTATCCCGCTGGGCTCTTTCCTCTTGATTTGCAACATAAAGCTGGCTAAAAGCCCTCTACAGTAGCCATGCCACAGACTCAACATTTGATTGCTTTTTAATTTCTTTTTCAAGATTAATCAGTCCATTGCCCTTTGTTTCAGTCTCAGGCAAAGTCTCTGGACATGAGCAAAATGTAGACAACTTTCTGCCAACCCATAACTCACATCATGGGGAGTCCAACAACCACTGCAGTCCTTCTTCCCAGCAGAAATCTCCCAGGCCTGGTCTTTACCATCAGGCTTCCTATCAGCCTTCTGGTCTCCTGAGCTGTGACCACTATCTCCTCTACAGAACTGCCTAAGCTGCTCTAGCTCTATGCATCCAGGCAACACATCCAAACCTTTCCAAACTCTGCCCACAAGCCATTTCCAAAGCCATTTCTTGAAAAACATGGTAAGGTATAGTCACAGCAAACAACCCCATTCTTCGGTACCAAATTCTGTCTTAGTTACTTTTTACTCATTGCTGAGACAAAATACCTGAAGCCCAAGTTTGGAAAGGAAAAGTTTATTTCTTACAGTTTTTGGAGGTTTCAGTCCACACTCAGTTGGCTCCAAGGCAGGTGGGCATGGCTGGGTCACAGTTCATGGTGGCTGCAAACAGCAAGTAGGAACAGGCAAAGAGCAAGATACACTTTCTTCCTACCATTACATCATATCCTGGCTCCACTCTTATGTGGGTGTAACACTGACACCATGAATCCAAGCACTAGACAATGAACCATCACAAATGCACAATGAAAATGCATGAGGCCTGGGGGCCACAGACATAAACCATGACAGTAGCCTACTACTTCTTGTACTTAGGAGCACACTTCTGCTGATCTGTTTCTCTGTGAATAGCTTTGCTTGTTTCAACTAGAAAATTGTTGTTGTTGTTGTTGTTCTTCTTCTTTTTTTTGTTTTTTTTTTTTCTTGTTTCATCTGAGATAACACATTTGCTGCCTTCTCTGGTACAGTTACTCCCTGGTGATTGTTCCTGTAAGCTTAGCGGTAACTTAAGGAACTCTTAGTTGAAATTGTATATGAAACATTTTACTTAGGAACATAAGTTTCCAAAAGAAAGAAAAGGGGAAGAGAGACTGATTGACTGAGACTGACTAGGGTTTTTGTGTATCTGAAACATACTTGTCCTTTGTGTTCTAATGTCAGACTTACCATGCTTACAATGTTACTGTTTCACATAACTGTGTTACACAAATCACTTTTAGAGATGTTAGTATAGTAAAAGTGTAACTTGAGTCTTTAGAAATAAAGCATATATGAAACCTCAAATCACATTACGGAGTGCATGCAAGACTCACCTACCCACTTCCCTGCAGTACTGCCTTGGTATTGCATGAGTTTCTGTGCTGGTGATACATTCGGCATTGAAGGAGGTGTTGAATGGCTGGCTAAAGAAGAGATCAATGGGTTAAAACCACAGAATGACCCAGTGACTTATCAAGTACCCGTTTACTTAAAGAGCAGTGTACAATAGAAACTGTCCTCTGTTACTTGTTTGCTGTATTAGACGATAATCTTTTTGTGGTTAAAAGTCTGCATTACAGCTGGGAGTATGAAACACATCTATAATCCAAGCACTGGGGGAGACTGGTTACACAGAGTTTGAGGCCAACCTGGACTACATACATAGCAAGACTTTGTCTCAACATTCCCCAAACCACAACCACCCCCCAAAAACACTGTTTTTTAAAGTCTCTCACAAAATTAGGCACTGATGTCTCAACTGAGGTGTGGTTTCCTCTTCCTAGATACTGTTTCTTCATTGTTGAAGTAGGGTTTCATGTTTTCCCCTAATTGTCTTACTACCTTGGATATGAAAATTCTGCTTGAGTTTTATAAGTTGGTAGTAATTCTTCAATTCTCTGAAGTAATGGTGATTTGACTGGGAATCAAGAGAACTCTGTAGCATTTTTTATTTACTCAGGCGTTCTCCATAGTATGTGTGTGACTGTCATTACAAGAATGATGTTAATAACATTAAAACTGTAGAAGATAAAAGGAACTGAGAATATGTGTTATACTTTTGAAAATGCTCAGAGACTGTTCCATTAACTTGTTGGATGTGTAACAGTGCTTCTTTAATTTGAATGTCTTCTTTTTCACAGGCCTGAGTTGCTGGAGGAAGCCCAGAGGCAAGGCTTACCATTTTCACAGTGGGACGGGCCAACCGTGGTTGAATGGCTGGAGGTACATCCCTTTACTACAGAGACCTATGCTACATGACACAAGCTTGTCGTGCATCTCCTGTCTCTACCTGATGTTCTGGTCTTTTCATTCTTCTTTCTAGCTCTGGGTTGGGATGCCTGCTTGCTATGTGGCTGCCTGCAGAGCAAATGTGAAAAGTGGGGCCATCATGTCAGCTCTGTCAGACAGACAGATCCAGCAAGAGATTGGCATCAGCCACCCTCTGCACAGACTGAAGCTGCGGCTGGCCATCCAGGAAACCCTGTGGCTCACCAGCCCTTCGGCTCCACCCACATTGAAAAAGGTATGTTCACAGAGGCTCTGTGTGCCCTCTGTGGAGGAGGAAGGCAGAGCCCACAAAAGCAGTAGCCTGCTAATGTTTCCGTGCTGCTTCCTAATCATACAGGGTGGTTTCAACTTAAAATTTCAGGAAAGCATAGTACAACCCCTAACTTGGAGGGGTTGAGTGATCCAAAGAAAATGTGTGAACTGCTTGTGTAAAAGTGTGGTTAAAGCCAGGCGTGGTGGCACATGCCTGTAGTTCCAGCACTCAGAAGGCTGAGGTGGGAGGATCACTGTGAGTTCTAGGCCAGTGGGTTACAGTGTGAGCAGCTTGAACTGAGTAATGAGATCCCGTTTCAGAAAAGACCAAAAAATAAATAATTAAATAAATGAATAAAACTTGGTTAGAAAGGCCTTCTTTAAGAAAGAAGGCTTTTTGAAAGGTAGAAAATTGATTGTCACAAATGTACGTATGAATTTATCAAAACTGAGTAAGTGTAAGGACCTCTTGAGGAAGGAAAAGTTAACATTTTAAGTAGCATTTCATCCTTGAACTTTGATTTCTATTTCATAGTTCAAACAATAATTAGTACTTGTACGGTATATAAAGGTACTTGCTAAGCAAATTATATGCGGAAAATATTGTTTTTCTTCAAGTATACAGGTAGCAAAATATACAGATAAGCCCAGGAATGTATAAACCCTTGCATACAATCCCCGGGCATAAATAAGCACCTGGCTACGGCCCCTTGGCTATAAACTAGGTTGGGCTGCCCTTACTTTGTTGTGTGTGGCTTCTTTCCTTCAGTCTTGTGCGTGTGAGTGCATCTGCATCACTGCACATATAGGCGGGACTTACAGAGTAACTGTAATTTGTGGCAGTCCAGAGGTGCCACTGACATACAGTTGACATGCTAACAAGGGGTAGTCACCTCCCAGAAATCCACTGGTTCCTGGACAGTTCTAAGCTTCTCTTCTTTGTGGATGTCTTTTTTTCCCTACAAGAACTAAAGGAGGAAAAATGCCGAGTTTCCTAGATGCACTGTGGTTGTGTGTCACGGCACCAGCAGGTGCTCTGGGTCTTGGGAGCTGCATGTGTCTGTCCAACCATGCCTGTGCTCACAAAGATGCTGTCCACTTGGGGAGTAGTGAAGAGCCCTCAAAGAGCTTCCTGGTGACTCTTCTGATGAAACATTGGTGGTTATTAGAAGGGAAGAGCAGGCCAGCTCTTAAGTTGCAAAGTTCAGGGGTTTTTCATTTAGATGTTCAACAAACTCTTAGAGCTGTGTAGACATCCTTCTGAGCAGCAGAGCAAGGTCTGCCTACAGTAACTTTATACACAAAAAAGTGTGAAGATTTTGTTGTTAGAGAATTATGAAAATGAACAATAAGCCTTTTTTTTTTTTTTTTAACGTATGGCCAAAGAACACTTTCCCTTGGTGGAATGTTTTGTAACCAGTATCAGTCTGTTCTGCAGCTATTTCCACATTAATGTGGGCTTTGTAGAAATGAAGATGCTGCATGGCTTTTTCAAAGCTTTTAAGAACCCTCTTTCAAAAGGGAGCTTCTGTGATTCAGTTGAACTATTGGCAAGGACTAGACCTCACATCAGAAAGACTCTCCATATCACCAGTTACAAACACAGAAATTGCTGTTCTTGGGGAGCTTACAGTGGGCTAGCAGAGTGGCCATCAGTCTCAGGTTTGACTCAGATGGTGACAAGTGCTTTGTTTTTGGTGTTTGCATTGTTTGGCTCTCCTGTGCTCACTATCTTGTGCCCTGGCCTCCTGGGCTTCCTCTGGCTTTGGATCATCTGCTGAAAGCAGCCACAGGAAGCCAAGGCCAGAGCATCCTGTTGTTAGCCTGTGTTGGGGTGAGACTGCTTTCTGTGTGTTTTGTTTTATTCTTTTGTTTTGCTGTACTGAGGCTTAAACCTAGTGCTTTGGGAGAGCCAGGCAAAAACCCTATCATGAGCTATACCTCCAACATGGTGAGACTATTGAAAATACTGTCTATTGAATCATCAGTTACTGGGGAAAGTAACTTTTCAGAAATATAAAGTATGTTCTCATCCATACTTTTAAGCATGTGATCTGGAAATTGTGTGCTGTTCTCCTTATATTCCGACCACACTGTTATTGTTTAAAAGAGGATGAGCCTGTGTTAATGATCTCTGGCTTTCTCTGTGGGTGCCTGAAATGAAAATGTGCAAAGAGTGACCTTTGCCTCATGGCTCCTTACTGTGCCTGTGGCTCATATGTGCGTCCTTCTCCTTTCTGTCACGCTTCCCTTGCCCTGGATGTGGCTGGTGCACTGGGGTCACCTTAGACCACAGGAAATGTCTGGTTAACACATGAAGAGATGGAAACACTCGCAGCCACATCTCAGATGGTCAGTCAGCCCTGCAGCTCATGTTCCAAAGTGGGTTTCCTACTCCAGACCAAAGGGCCCTTTGTCTTTTGTTGAAAACAAAAGTTAATTTGCATTTGTTTCAAATATAATGTGTTCTTTTTAGGTTATTAGCTCATAGCGTATAGTCATATTTGCATTTTTTAGATTTTTACAAGAATTTAGTTTATAGATTTGCCCCATTTAGAGAAGATGTAATTTGCTTCTCCTTTTGGAGAGACCTCCATTGAGCACTGCGTTGTGGTTGTCTAACGCCAACAGTCTACTGTATGAGGTTAGTTGGCATGGAAAAAGTCTGCTCCTTGCATGGAAAATTGAAATTCTTGGATTTTCATGAGTTTTTGCATGAGGCATTGATATTTTGAATGTTTTTCACTCAGTCAAGGTGCATGTTCCCTGCAGAATTAATTTGCTTACACTACTAAAGTTCACTAATACTAATAGTTATGTTCTTTTACATTCCTAACAACCTAACATCAGGAAGATGAGGAGGGAAGCTGGATAAGGTTGGAGTCTTTCTATAATATTTCTTCACTCTGTAGCAACAAAAAGCAATTGAGGATGTAAACTTGTGTGACCTGCTTTAGTAGGTGTTTTTCACACCTTAATTTATTCATAGTATCATTAATGACTTGAAGAATGTAATCAAATAAATCACAGGATTAAAGATTACATCTCATGGATAATTTTGAACATTTCCCATATGGGATCATGGAAATTACTTTGAACGAAGGTTGTTTTATTTATGAATAGAATCTTTTATACAAAGTCCCCTGGTTTAGGCAACTCCTGAGTTTATGTACATGTAGTTCGTTGCTGGGTTAGTTTTGTTCTAAAATGTACTGCTGAAAAAAATCATGAAATAGACTTCTAAACCTGAAAGTTGGCACGGGGCCTTTCCCTCTATGTCTTTATATGGTTATTTGACTAAGTACTGCCCTACTGTGTTGAGTTAAAGATCTTAGTAATGGAGTTCTCAGAAATTAAGGCTTATCACTTCACAGAGATTGAATTTCAGCTGCCTAACTCTTCACTACACAGAAAGCTCTGCCCCATGTTTTACAGTGTCTGAGTCAGATGACTTGGTTAAATTCCCAGCATCCCTCTGCCCTCTTGGGTCTTTGGTGGGCACAGTGCAGTACCAGGGGACTTGTAGTTCTTCAGCTTTTCCCAGGGGCACGGTATTCGGGGGCTCAGAAGAGTTAGCATATGTCTGAAAGCAAGTATAAATGAGTTAAGATTAGAATTTGCTGATTCCAAGATGATGCTTGAAACAGTTGCTTCTGTTTGCATTTCTAAAGGTTGTTCAGTTATAGCACTTGGTTGTTTGTTTTGTTTGTTCATTTGAAAAAAAGAGAGGTGGAACTTGGTGACACATATGGGTCATCCCAGGACTTGGGAGGTTGATCAAGCATGTTTGTTGCAAATTTGAGACCAGCATAGGCTACATAGTGAGTTCAAGGTCAGCCTAAACTACATAGTAAAATCCTGTCTCAAAATTACAAAAAGTTTAGAAACAAAAACTAAGAAGAAAGAGAATAGCTACTAACTGGGTTTCCCTCCCTGGGTTTAGATACTCCCTGCCTCTAGAATCACTTAAATTCACCTAGTTAGAGGTCTCTCTACAGGACCAACAATGACCATCAGTGAATTAAGCAGTGCATTTCATAATTACGTAAGTTTCAATATATTCCAAAAGACAAAGTAGAATATGGTCACCACTTCAATATGAAATAGCATCAGAGACATAAAGTGTAGTTGAATAAGCTTAACATTTGCTTTTTGCAGTGACCATATAAAAGGGGCCCATGCAGAAGATTCCAGATTTACCCCACATGCAATGTTCTGCAGAAGCTTGGTGCACTTTGCCACCATCCTTTCCCAGACAGAGCTGCTAGGACAGAGCTATGCTAGCACAAAGCATTGTGCTTTGCCCGTGCTGGCACTGGGTGGCCTCACTCCTGACTGAGCTTTGGAAGGAACACTCAAGTGTGGTCAGAACTGTTCGCATATCAGATGTAAGATATGACTGGCTGTGTAAGAAGGCTGTGCCAGCTGCCAGGAGCCATTAATGAGCAGGACAGCTGCAGTCCCACTCTCATGGAGCTCGCATTTTACTGACCTTGAGACTGAGCGTGACTTGTCCATGCTTGGAGCATGAGGTCCCTTTGCACACTTCTTCAGAAGGCTGTGGTGGCAGCCAGGGAGAGGAGGAGGCTCTCCCTCAAACTGAGTCTGAGCTGTCAGAATCTGCATTATCAGCAACTGCAAAAGTAGTAAACAGAGATATGGAGGGTTTGCTTCCGCACAGCTTTTTATTTGGAAGATTTCTTCTACTCATTAGAAGAGAGCATAGTCAGCAGGCCAGAAAACATCAAATATTCAGGCTGTGAATCCCAGGCCCATGAAAGTATGACTCAAAGGACTGCATCATGGTAACATTGTTAGGTATCTTAATGGTTACCATAGTGGTATATTTGTCACTCATCATTTAAAGAAAGTTATGAAATCTTTTCTGTTAGAATTGGAACATTCCTCTTAGCTGAGCCATCCCTTGTATCTTGACTGGAACAAATAAAATACTAGAGTGGAATCCATTGTTCTAAACCAAACATGGAGGCCATGCATGGTGGTTTATGACTGTAATCCCAGAACTCAGGAGGCTGAGGCTGGAAGATATCAACTTAGAGACCAGCCTGGGCCTAGTGAGACCCTGTTGTAAGGGGTTGGGGATGTAGCTCAGGTTAGAGTGCTTGCCTAGCAGGTATGAAACCCTGAGTTCAAGCCAGGAGAGGATGGATGGGAATGGATAGTTTTTATTTTAAAGGATTCCTCAATGTACCTTAGGATTCCTGTGAATGTAATTTAATCTTCCTTAGCTGGAGAGCATAACGAACCATTCTCTGTGAAGTGGTTGTATATCATGTCTATTTTTCATTGTACAGACCTTGGACATATTCTGTTGAATTGGTTGCTAAGGATTTTATGCAGTTTAGTGCCATTATATAAGATACTTCTAAAATCTCAATTTCCAGTTCATTTTGTATATTTAGAAATGTTAATTTTTGTGTATTCATTGTATATTCAGCAGCTTTGCTAAATTCATGTATAAATCCTAATAGCTATTTCATAGACTTTTTCAACAATGATAATTGTGTCATTTACTAATAAAGAGAGGTTTATGTCTTTCTCAACTCATGCCATTTTTATGTTTTTCCTGCCATTACAGTGGCCAGGTCTCCAGCACAGCCAAACATAAACGGTGACAGTGGACACCCCTTGTGCTTCTTTCCGTTCAGGGAGACATTTGGTCCCTCATTGTGAGGTTTTTAGCTGCAGGCTTTTGGTAGATGACCCTTAATAGATTGAGGCGGTGGGTCTTTCGTCCTAGAATGCTGAGTTTCATAACTGAATGATGGATCTTGTGCCACATAAGGTATTATGAGACATGGCTTTCTTTGCTGATCTCGTAATTGGGCAAATTTCATTGATTTTTTTTTTTTCCTCCTCAGTTGGTGAACCAACCTATTCCTGAGTCAGTAAACCTACTTACCATGATTCCTTATTTTTGGTGTAGTGCAGACTAGTCCCAAACTCGAAATACTTTTGTCTCAGCCTCCTGAGTGCTGGGTTTACAGGCATGCACCACCATACCACACCACAAAAAAGTACGTCCTGAATCCAGATGTGATGATGCACCCCTGTAGTTGCCAAAACTCAAGAGACTGAGCCCAGAAGTTGGCTGTTATAATGTCCTATGACAATTGGGCATTAAACTAAGATGGACATCATACTAAGAGTGGCATCAATATCTCTTTGCATAGGGAGTGCTTGTGCATAGCCACTGCACTCAATCCTGGTAATATAATGGGAATCTCTGTCTTTAAAGGTTGTGGGGAGGGGCTGGGGATTTAGCTCAGTGGTGCAGCACCTGCCTTGCAAGCATGAGGTCCTGAGTTCAATTCCCAGTACCCCCCCCCAAAAAAAAAAGAAAGGAAAAAGTGTAAGTTATATCTGGGTCAGATTGATTGACAGTATTGTTTTTGTCCGTAGCCTTCCTGATTGTTTTCCTTTTCTTAGTCCTTTTTGGTTTTTTGATTGGCACATTGAACCAGTTGTTAAGAGAGGAGTGTTGAAGTCTTCTAAATTTAATTGTATTTTTCTGTTTTTGTTCTTAGTCTCATTAGTTGTTCATTTATCATTTTAAATTTACTTTTCCTGATTTTCAAATACACTTGTCATTTAGGAAGACAAAGTATTAAAAATAAAATCAAAACCAGCTAGAGCTCATTTGAATGATTTGAATTGATTCTTCAAACTTGTTCATGAGTCATGATCATTCTTTATTCCTATATTATTATATTGAAAACTAATTCAGAAAAGGAATTTATAGACAGGTATGATTTTTCTATAGCTTGGTAAATTGTCCTAAATGAGTCATAAAATTTTGCCAATATGATTTCTGTTGGATAAAACTTTAGGAATTTGAAAAGGTAGGAATGGGAGACCAAATATTTAGAAATTATGAAAAGCAATGTTGTCATTCATTTAGCCTTTAAGAATGTTGTCTAGATTAAACATCTGAACTGATGTCACTCATTTGTTGAAATCAGACACTTGCATATGGGGACATGGACCACGAGTGGATTGGCAATGAGTGGCTGCCCAGCCTGGGCCTACCTCAGTACCGAAGCTATTTCATGGAGTGCCTTGTGGATGCTCGGATGCTGGACCACCTGACCAGGAAAGACCTGCGGGGGCGGCTGAAAATGGTTGACAGTTTTCACAGGTGAGGCAGTGCAAGTGGTTCTTCCTAACGGATCAAGAGACTTCACATTGCCACCATAAAATAACCCCTTATTTTGTAAATAGGAACAGCTTCCAGTGTGGACTTATGTGCCTGAAAAGGTTAAATTATGATCGTAAAGAACTTGAAAGAAGAAGAGAAGAAAGTCAGCATGTAGTTAAAGGCAAGTACATTATGCCGGATGGATGCAGCACATGCCTGCTGCCTCCCAGGCAGCCTGGGTGATTGCCTGTTTGAAAAAGTATAGCAGCCAGCTGAGCTGGCACATACCTGCAATCCTAGCACTCTGGGAGGATATAGCAGCAGAGTCACAAGCCTAGCCCAGGCAGCTTGGACTCCGTGAAACCTTCTCTCAAAATGAAAAGTATAACAGGGCTAGAGATGCAGCTCAGTGCAAATCCCTGTGTTTATTCCTGAGTACCTCAAAAAGAAATCAAGGGCTTAGTGATAAGGCACTTGCTTACCACTTGCATTGCCCTGGGTTTGATCCCTAGGACTGAAAAAAAAAAAAGCACAAAATAATCATACATTTATCTGGGAATTACACAAATTACAGTTCCAGCTACTAAGAATACTAAGGCAGGAAGATCACAAATTCAGGGCCGACCTGGCAATTTAGTGAGACCCTGTCTCAGAACACTAAAACTAGATTTGAAAATTAGGGGTGCTAAGAATGTAGTTCAGTGAAAAAAGACTTGCCTAGCATGCTCAGGGCTCTGGCTTCTGTCTCTAGTACCACAAAAAAATAAATCAGGGAAGACTTTTAAGTGGAAACAACTGACTTGGCATGATAACAAGAGGAGGGATGAAAAGGGGTGCCCTGAGACAGTGTGTGCTTATCTCAGTCTGTAGGCTACCCTCTTGGTGCTGGCATTCTTTCATGTAGTTTTCCTTTTGTTGTTGTACACTGTATACGCTCTCTCAGAGATGCTGCCTTATGCTATTAGATCAGAGCAAGGCAAACAAGCCACTGCCTTTTGCTTACTGGATAGAGGTTAAAACTACAGCCTTGGGAGCTTTTTCTAAGGCCTGTGGCAGCATGCAGGGCACACAGTTCTGCTCCCAGAGGGGGGGAGAGGTCAAGGCAACCAATAGCCTAGCACCCATAATTTTGTAATTTATTTATTTATTTTGAGACAGAATTTCACTAAGTACCCTGGTCTGGGATTACACCTGTGACCCTCCTGCCACAGCACCCATACTAACTGGGATTGCAGTCCTTACAGAAACCACAGAGTGTCCTGTGGGCAAAGGAAAGACATGTCAGAAACAGGCCAGGAGGTAGGAGAGGGCATGGCAGCCCCCTCAGTATGACAGGGACAGGCATTTTCTCTGAAGACAACACTGAATGTCATGCTCACGAGAGTCTCTCAGAATTCTCGGTAGTTACTAATAGCACTGCAGTGATGAGAAGAAATGAGACTTACTGAATAATGATCAAGCACTGTGTCAAGTCTTCCATAGTTGATTCATTCAGGCTGCATCGTGGTTCTGTTATTTTCATCCTCATTCTGATGTCTTTTTCTAAATAAAATAAAGGATTATCTATTGGCCAGGGATGTAGCCCTGTGGTAGGACACTTGCCTAGTCTGTGCAAGGCCTGGGTTTTAATTCTTTTAAAACAAAGAATACGTTGAGGTCTATTTAGAAAAGAAAGTCATGGCCGGGGATATAGCTCAACAACAGAGCGGCTGCCTGGCAAGTGCAAGGTCATGAGTTTGATCCCTGGTACCAAAACAAAGTTGAGAAAAAAAAATCAGACATGAAATGTATTAATCCATTTAATTTGTTTTCTATATCCCCTCTCCATATTTTGTCAGTTGGCAAAAGCAGTCTTTGAAAAGATTGGTGGTCAGATATATTTTTACAGAGTGGCAATTTTTTGGTCTGTAATAGAATACATTTAATAATTATCTTTGTATGATATACGATTGCCAAAATCTAATATGCTGGAATGTCTTTAAAATTCTTTCTTTGTAATATATTAAGATGTTGATATGACCAAAGCTTCAGAAGCACAGGGGCTGGGGTATGGCTCAGTGGCTTAGCACCTACCTGGTAAGCACAAGGCTCTGAGTTTGATTCCCAGTACAACAACAAGAAAAAGTAAAAGAAAACGAAGGTCAGAAGGTCAGAAGCAAAGAGTTTGTGTTGAACTCAGCAAGGTATCTGAACTGTCATGGTATCTGCCCCTTTCATGATGGAGAAGCATTTCAGGAGACTCTGGGGTCTGTGTAGGAAACATGCTTATACGTGCTAGGTCTGACTCTGACCCTCAGCCTGATGTTTTTGCAGTCTTAGGATTGAACCCCAGGCCTTGTACATACTAGGCAAGTGATCTGCCACCAAGCTACATCCTCAGCCAATCATGCTGTATTGTTCCCTGAATATATCCTATCCACAATCTTACTGTGACACCTGAGTGCACTAGGGGAGGCTTCTAAAGGGAAAGTTTTTATTAGAATGAGGCAGAACCAAAACAGCTGTGTCTAGGTGTGTGTCTGTCAGTATTTGTGAGTGTGGAGTCCATTTTCAGGAGCTGAGGGATCAAGATCCATGCTAGGAATCTTTCCCCTGCATTGCAGGACATGTATGATGAAGAGGTTTTCTGAAGCCACATTTACAGTTGTTTTGTTCTTTCACAGATGTGCTTGTTTGGAGCAATGATCGAGTGATTCGCTGGGTCATATCCATTGGCCTTAAAGAATATGCAAACAACCTCATAGAGAGTGGGGTTCATGGCGCACAGCTGGCCTTAGATGAAGCCTTCGATTACAACACATTGGCCCTGTTGTTACAGATCCCGACAGAGAACAGAAAGGTGACAACGGAGTCTGTGCCTCTGTCTGCTTAGCCACAGTGTTCGGTTTTTCTGTGGTTCTAGAATACTTATTTTTCATTTGAATGGAGAGAAAATTTAACTCTAGACAACTAGTAATCACTTTCCATAACTAATCTATAATATGGTAGTTCAAAATAAGCAAATGCTTGATTTTTCACTATCTTTTCTTTCCAGTTTGTGTTGCAAGCATGTGAGTCTTTGAAGTCTTTGTTTTAAAAAATTGTAATGTGTAACATCCTTCAGATATATTTAGTTGTTGTTTTGTTACTTCAGGCTCGAAATGTCTTGGACAAAGAATTTGCCGACCTTTTGGTCCTTGGGACTGTCAGACGTTTTGATGTTGTAAGTTTTCAGCTTTTTTCTCCTCTCACTGCTAGGAATCAACCTCAGGGCTTCACATATGCCAGTTGAGTGCTCTACTACTGATCCTTGCTCTTGGTCCACTACTTAATTTTTGGCAACCTTCAAAAATTATTTCTATATTGTCAAACAGATTGCAGCCTGCGATCAAAGTCTTAAGTTGTGTTTTGGTGACAGCTGACTGTCCTGCCCCAGTTCTTCTGTTTGGAAGGTTTCTTTCAAAAGTATATTAAATTTCCCCTCATGCTAAATCATAACTAACCTGTTGCCATACATTACGATTGTCTTCAGTGAGCTCCAAGAGTACTTGATTTTCACAAAGAAGATGGAAGCTGAATCTGGAAGCAAAGCATTTGTTGGATTATTTGTAGCCAGAATATTTTGAAAATAAATAAAAGTACATTATATAGCAGGCAAGAGCTTGTCCACAGTAAGAAATAAAATATTCTGATGGGTGAGAAAATCACATCCCTGGTGCCCAGGACTGCCCTCGTTTCTCCAGTTGGGGCCCAGCAGGAATGTAATCATGTTTCCTCTCACACTGAAGTTCCAGTGTGTGCAGCACATTGGAAGGTCACCAGGAAAGGCTAAGTAAAGCAAAACAGTCAGGGGCTTAGGAGTCCTTCTGAAGGACAGTTATCTTTATTAGAGTGTGCCTGTTCTGTGTTTTCATTTGCCAGGAGCATGACAAACACTTTAGGAGAGCACCTTCATGGAGAGAGAAGGTTAGAGAAAAGGCCATTCATGGCGTGGCAACTGGGTCATCAGAGACACTCCCTGCAAACTTCCGAGTCTCTTCTTCCAAGTCTTCCCACTCTGTGCAGCCCAATGAGATCCAGATGGATGGTATGTGGTGGGCCATGTAATGCAACACTGGCTGGGAGCATGTGCGCGCTAATAATTACCTAGAGTGGCCATTGTATGTGTTACAAAGCATCTGAGTTTGGTTGCATGCCCAGGTGTCAATGGTTCAGGATTAGCCCTAACATTTGTTGGAAAATGGTTAACAACAATAATAGAATTTTTAAAAAATCTGTCTGGTTGAACCTTAGCATCCTTGCCCAACTAATAAAGTGGAGCACCCATCTGTGCTCTCAGGGCTGAGGCTGATGCACCTGTGGGGTGCAGTGTGTGGCAGGCAGCACTGGCTTGCCAGGAAAATTGCAGTGTGACACTTGGGACTTCTCTCCACACTAGAAGAAATGGCAGAGTAAACTTTAGCTCACAACTTCCAGCTTCTGCCAACTCTGTCTTTCCTTTTCCCTTCCCTCCAGTGTTATCTTTCCATATACTTACCTTGTGCCACCTGAAGAGGGACAGGGAAGAAGGCAGAAGCCTTGTGGAGACCGCTAGGGCAGCCCTGCTGCCTTCTCAGTGAGAGATGGCAAGGCATTGACCTTTCCAGTGCAGTCGGGATGGCCCTTATGTAACTGCTGACTGAAGAGTGCAGTTGGCTGAGAGGAGACCTTGAGTCCCTGACAGTCCTGCCCACCTAGTAAAAGGCACTGATAGGGTCCTGAGAGAGCCCACATCCACATCCAGCTCTTGTGGTAGCAGGGACATGACCTTGAGCAAGTCATGCAGCTGTGCTGTGCCTCAGTTTCCATATCTGTAACTTGGGCATCATAGTAATGTGATTTTGATGCTTCAATGTGTCATGTGGGTGAAGCTGATGGAGTCCTGAGCCTCGTGCATTGCTGACAATCTCAGTGTTAGGTGGAGACTTCATTCCTTCTCATTCCTGATGTACATGGTTGTGCTGTATAAACTGTACCAGTGGGGTTGTTACAAGTTTCCTGTTGTTAGCCCCCTGTGTAGGTAGTTTTCCTTTTTTCTCTTTCTTGCCTGTATGAAAATCAGAGAAAAATACATTTATATAAACTTTTTAAAGCTGAACACTTTCCAGTGTGTCTTTTAACTAGTAAGTTCTTAAGAATTAACACTTCCTCCCTCAAGGTGTCTTACAAATGTTGGCAAGGCATGGAAGTGCATGCCTGTAATTCCAGTACTTGGGAGGCTCAGGCAGGAAAATCATGAATCTGAGATGTATGTGAATCATAAATCCAGGTTAAGGCTATACTGAGCTTCATAGGAAGACCTTGTATCATAAATAAAATAGATAAGTAAGTAAGCTGTGACGGGCCTTGAGCTTAATTTCCATTGGCTTACTAAATAGTCTAAATGAGTACTCTGTTGTTTTCCCTGTACCTTCAATTTCTGTTTCACTATAAGAATCACATTTTCTCTCTGAACATTGCAAGCAATATTAACATAGCTGGGTGTGGAGATCACCTGTAATCCCGGCACTGGGGAAGCTAAGGCAGGAAGGTTGCTGAGAGCTCAGTACCAGCCTCGAATTCACAGGGATTGTAGGGCCAGTGTGAACTACACAGGGAGACCTTGTTTCAACAAAATAAAACAAAAATAAAGGGTAGTATTAATGAGTCTGTTTGTTGTTGATTTGTTTTTTTGGAGGCATTTTTGTGGTTGTGGTTGTTGTTTTGGGGTTTGGGGTGGTACTGGGGAGGGAGCCTTCTACCTGTACTACACACCACCCCTTCTTTTATTATCCAGAAAGGGTCTTGTTAAATTGTCCAGGCCTGGTTTGAACTTGGAGTTTTCCTGCCTCAACCTCCCAGAGTGCTAGGATTACAGGCATGTGCAGGCAAACTGTGTAACACTAAATTTAAATGGATTGAATAGAAAAAGTTGTCAGGGTAAATTACATAGAAGATGTCTATGCCACATTGGTAAGAAGGTGGACTGTTACAAATGACTTGCGAGGTGGAGAGTATAAGATAAATTACAGCATGTCTCCTAGACTTTAGAATGAAGGTTTACAATGACTGCCCAGTCTTACCAACACGGCCAGCTATCTGTCTTTTCTAGAGCTATGGCAAGATGTTGCCAAGAAGTATTCCTGGTATACTTGCAGGAAAACAAAACACTGTACAACTGGGAGTGTAAATATCTGCAGAAGATGTTGCAAGCTCTTTACCCAGTTTGTGACAGGGCTGTACTGCCTGTTTAGCCACCCAGTGTTTGTCAAACAAGGACCCCTGCCTCCGTGTTCTCCATCCTTTTTTGTAGAAACTGAGACAAGCTTTAGTCTTCTGAGAAGCACTGGCCATGGCCTCTGGGCTGTGCCTCTTTGCCTGCAACCCACCCTGAGAGCAGTGCCTGCAGAGCAGCTGGGGTTCCCTCCTCCCCTTCGTGCTGCTGATTCACCCCATTCATTCCTGGAGGTCTAGCTGTAGGGCACAAGGAAAAGTCCAGTTGCTATATCAAAGTGTGGCTTAAGGAGCTGCAGAGTAGCTATGTTAGGTGGTTGTCCTTTCTGTATGTGCACACTGAGGTGGTTTGCACTTCCAAGGGGCCCTATTGCTATTTTAGGTGCCAGTGTCCCCTTGGGTGGTGACAGAACCACTCTGGGCAGCCCTCTGATGCTCTTGCCTCACTCTCCCAGGCAGTCTTAGGATTCCTCAGTAGACACCATTGTAGGTGTGGAGATGTGTGTCTTACCTGTGCCCCGTGTGAAGTGTTAAAACTAACAGCACTTTGTTTTTGCACACTTCCTCTCATGGTTGTTGGAACAGGCAGTGTATCAGAAACACAGAAGTTGGATTCTGCGACAGTCAGGACTTCCTCCCGTTAAGCCTCCTGTTGGTGAGTAGAGAGCAGCGTAATCCCTGGAGATCATCCCTGTACAGCAGGGTGAAGCTGTAACAGGGCTAACAGTGTGGGTTTAGACCATGCCAATTTACATGGGGAACTTCAAAATGACAGAAATAGTAGCTCTGTACCCATCAAGGCGATTTTGGTTTTTAGCTGACCATAAAGAGGGCTGTGTGTCATTTTTGTTCTGTTAACTTTTATTTTTATTAGTAAGTTAGTTGTACTTAAATTCATCATGGAGAGTTGGTACCTGTACTAGGACATCTTAAATCTTTTTACCTCCCCTCTCCTGTGTCCCTTGTGTCTCCAGTTTTAAAGAAAAACACGTTCGTCCCCATTTTTTCCTAAAAGCTAAAAATGCCTATTCACTTGAAGTGATGATCTGCTGATGCCATTGTTGGGGGGTGGGCAGAAAAGCAGCAACTGAGGAAAAAAGCACCCCAAAAGCTGACCACACCAGGAGGCCAGAGCCTGAGATTGGAAAGCATCTCTTCCACTGTGTTTATACACAGTGGTACACAGCTCCTATACTGGCTTTGTTACAAACACACATGTACGCACACATATATGGGGAATTGAACCCAGAGTGTTCCCACTGTGCTATATCCCTAGCACCCCATCCCCTTTTTAGTGGGGACAGGGTCTTCCTAGATCATCTAGTCCTTGTTCAAACTTGCAATCTTTCTGCCTCAGCCTTCTGACATACGGGATTGCAGACGTGCCACCATACATGGCAGACATTTTAAACACAAAGCTGCATTGCCATGCCTGGGCGCCAGTGAGCCACTTGTGTCCTCATGGTCTAGAGCTCTGACTGACTGATGGCAGAGGTGTCATTGACCCGTGATCAGAACCCCAGCTGGAGCTCTGCCTACTGTGCTTGTGTTCAGTGCCTCAGCTGGAATCTGGGATGGGCTCCATAGTCTTTTAACTTTAACTTTTAAAACTGTCACAAAATGTAAAACCTCTCTATTCCATGAGCAGGGTCCTCAGTGTTCTGCCTGCTGACGCTCCAGCAGGGAGGAGGCAGGAGGCCTGGGGAAGTGGGCCCCAGCGTGTGTGTCTGAAGTCATGGTCCTTTTCCAGGTGGTTTGTGTTAAGAGAGGCTTTCTGTTTGTTTTTATCTTCCAGTTTTCCTGCACTACTTCTACAGATGATGTGCAGCATTTGGAATCCAACAGAGACTACATTTTTTAATTCAGTCGAATCGCTATCTGTTAATACTTGTTATATGGATATTTTATAACAGAGTTTTTAATTAATAAAAAATTCATCAATAACATAGAGAAAATATTTTAGAATTTAATGTTTCTTCTATTTTTGTAAACTTAGGACTTTTCATTTATATAGTTACTTACTTTTTCATCTATGTTTAGATATCTCTGGAAGCAATTCATGTTCTTATATCTAATTTTAGTCTTTCAAATGAATGTACTGTAGTGCTTGTATGTATAAACCCTATGAACAAATACACGGCTTTTGTAAATTGTGCACATATTGTAATTATTACTATTTAACTTTTTAATGATAAGCCATCCCTGAAAAAATTAGTTTACTACACTTTTTTTTGTCTTTTTTGTTTTTATCGGTACTAGGGATCAAACTCAGGACTGCCTGCTTGCAAGGCAGGTGCTTATGCCACTGAGCTAAATCCCCAGCCCAGTTTACTACATTTATAAAATTGTTGTGACATAAGCAATGTGCATTATCCTTCACCTTGCTCTACATCAGTCATTTTAAAATCAGGAGACTTCATTCCAAGCAGTTGTCATATTTTGAGGTTGACTGACCTTAACTGTTCTTTTTTTAGCAAGAAATCAGAGTCTAATAAAGTCGGGACTGAACCGTTGCACCAGAGCACTATAGAACTTTCTTAGCACTGGTTCCCTTTTCCCCATCCTGTCTCTGGACTTGGGGAGCTTGTCTTCAGAGACTTGACCAGAAGCCATGAGCTGGGAGCTGCTCTCAGCAGGGCTGGAGTGGCCAGGGGTGGACCCCAGCCTGGCACCTTCCCTGCCTCTTTCCCGTGAGCATGTGGAAGGTGCCTCCAGCTATTCTTAGAGGACCAATCACTGAGCACTGTGCTCACATCTCACAGACATTGGTGCATGAGCAGATGAGAGCAGGAAACCCTGAAAATAAAGTTGTACAACTCTAACTAATCAAGGCCTTATTTTTCATATGTCAGTCACCTTTTTACATTGGTTTATAAACATGTTTCAACTAGTCATACATTTTTAGATTTTGATGACATAGCCATTTTGGATTGAACAAGTAGCAAAAGCAACTTGCTTTTCACTGGCATATTAAAAAGCCAGCAAGGAAGGAGTCAGATCAGGGTGCATGTTATTTATTGTGCAACTGATACATGGGTAGAGGCAGCATGCCTTTTTAATTTAGTTTATGCAGGGGCTGGGGATTTAGCTCAGCGGCATAAGCGCCTGCCTTGCAAGCAGGCCGTCGTGAGTTCGATCCCTGGTACCGATAAAAACGAAAAAGACAAAAAAAAAAAAAAGAAAAAAGAAAAAAAAATAATTTAGTTTATGCATACAATTCACTTGTACAATCCATATTACTGCCCTTTTTCTATTAATTTTTGTGGAATTTTCTGAGTATGTAACAAAGTATACAGTCATATACATATATATACTTTTGAACTATTTTAATCACAGTATTATTTATTGCTTTCTTTCAATAAAGTTCTGAATCATTTTTCACTGCCAATGAAGAGTTCTTTGAATAGGCCAAGATTTTGTTAAAAGTTAAGTGCGGCTGGAGTGTGTGTGTGTGTGTGTGTGTGTGTGTGTGTGTGTGTTACCAGACATCGAACTCATAACCTCATGCTTGCCAGGCAGGCACTCATGACACTGAGCTAAATCCCTGTCTCAGGCACAGCTGTTTTGCTTCCTGCTCCAGGCAGGTTCTCTGAAGGTAGTGTCGCTATGGAAATCACCGGACAGAAAGCTGGATGACATAAGTGTAGCTGGGCATGAGGCAAGAGAAGATGGGGTCCTGCTGAAGATTGGGCCTGGTTAGACCAGGGCGGGGAGGCGCCCCCAGCACAGTTGGGGGTGGGACACTGACAAGCTCAGCTTTGCCTGCTGTGTCAGACCCTTTGTTCATACAGTGTTACCCTCCTGTTTTCAAGTTTCACATGGTGCATCTCAGAGTAATCATGGGTTTGAGCTCTTGGTTCTCAGCCTTTTTCCCTGCAAACTGTGTGTTTTTGAATGGGGTTTGCAGAGCAGAGAGAAGAGGCCAGACTCTCCAGCGTTCCTTGGTGTGTCCCTGGGTGGTAAGTGAGTAGATGGTCCATATCCTAGTGCTATTGCTGCTGCTATTCTGGACACCCACATATCACTTAATGCATTTCAAATATCCCACATGCATTTATGTCTCATTTCCTGGCCTTAATTCCCTAGTGACAATGATTAGTCAGTGATTTTGCCTTCCAGTCATCTGTCGTATTTCATGAGGGAATTTACCCCAAGGATCCCAAGAGCCATGGCTGCTCGGGCCCTGGTAGAATATACATCATATTTGTAGAACCTGCATGTGTCCCTGCATAGATGCTTTGTGTCCTCTCTGGATAACTTACACTTAATACAGTGGCAATGCTATGGGAATAGTAGTTTGCTCTTTAGGAGATACAAGAAAAAACATCTGCATGTATTCAGTACAGATACAACGTCCCTCACCAAGGTGCTGGAGGTGGAATCCAGGGCCTTCACACTAAGCTCTGTCCCCGGCCCTTTGTATTTTGAGGCGGTCTCAGTAAGTTGCTAAATTGCTTAGGCTGGACTTAAACCTCAGCCTCACAGTGCTGGAAGTATAAGCACACATCAACAAACCAATTCAGATGCAGATTTTTAAAGAAATATTCTCAGTCTGCAGTTGGTTCACTCCTTGGATGTAGAACCCATGAGTACAAAGGACCTGTGGTGCTACTTGAGGACAGTTTTTCAGACCCGTGACACCTGACAGAGCAGGAACACACAGTGGGCGGAGGTAGCAGAAGGAAGCAAGCAGTTCCTCTGGGAAGTCCTGGAGAGTCCTCACCTCTACAGCTTGCAGGGGTGGCTCTCAGGGGTGCCTTGGGTCACCTCCACTCAGCCCCACCTGGGCTGCTCCCAGATGGAGGGTCTGAAATCTGCTCACACTGTTTGGGGGTTTGTTCAATTCAGGCATCCTATCTTCCTCTAGGAATCCACATGTGAACTGTTCTCACGCCTCAAGGACCCCAGTGAAAACCATCCTGTGTCACATGAGAGCCTCACTCGTCTCACCTGTCCACAGTGTTTGCCGGAACTGGCTGATTAGGCTCCTCCCTGGCTGATGTTCTTGTCATACATCCCATGCACAACAGCCACAGGGATCTTGGTACAGTGCAAGCTCTATGAAGTCTCTCCTCTGCTTGACTTTCTCCAAAGAAGTTCCTATTTCTTTGACAATACACACCAAAGTCCTTGCTGTCCCGCGTCAGCTCCTTGATGACCTTGTTCCATCTCTGTCATTGACCTGGTGCATCCCTGCATCCTGGTCATGCCCAGCTTCTTTGACTTCTTCCCTGGCAAGACCTTTTGTGTCTCAGGACCTTTGGACATGCTGTTTCCTCTGCCTGGAAAACTCTTCCCTTCTCATCTTGTTCACTCCAGAACTGCAGATTTTGCCTCATATGTGAATTTCTCCGACATATCTGAATACCTGACTACCTAGATATGTTCAGGTCCTATCTGCTCACCAGTAGAACTCTTATTAATTTCTTTATAACATTCGTCTCATTTCCATATATATATATGTACATTAATGTGTCGGACCCTCCTCCTCCTTTGGAAGGCTCCTGGGGGCCAGTCCCGCGTGGCTTGTTGATCTTACTATCTCTGGCACACATCTGCCTTCTCTGGGTAGACACAGGAATAACTGACAGATGAGTGTGTGCAGAGATGGCTAAAGAATGGAGAAATGGGTGTGGTTGGACAATGGACGAGTGAGTAAATGAGTGATGGGTGTGTGGGTGATGGCTGGAAGAATGAGTGGAGGGATGAATGAGGGCTGGAGGGTGTAGAGGCATGTTCCCTCCTGCAGAATGGTCACAGTCCCTGAGTGCGAGTCCTCAGTGCTCGAGGGATGGGGCACTACCTCCCCCTTGTGTGGCTCATTTTTCCCTTCTCGCCAGGGCGGGACTATGAGTTCAGAAACCCCAGGCTTGATTGTCTACTTTGCAGCTCTCTTAACATACCCGTTCTACGTAAGAACTTCCTCCAGCCTCCACGGGCTGGCCCGCGCCTGTGGCTTCCCAACAGCCCCAGCCCTGGTGCAGACAGGGGGCGGGGCCAGGGCGTGACCTTGCGCAGACCCGGATGCGGCCCCGCCCCCGGCGAACCGGAAGTGAGCGGGCTCTGTGAGAGCTGCGGGGGAGGCGGGACTGTGGCGGACCTACGGGGATCCCGTGGCATTGAGCGGGCGAGGCTCTTGCGGCTGGGACGGGCAGCCCCAGCGGGCGGTGGAAGCAGCGCCCGGAACAGGAAGGAAGCGGCCGTCTCACCGCGCTTCCGCTTGCGGTTTTGAGCTGGTCGGGGCAGAGCAGGCGAGGCTATCCTGTCATGCATCCGCGTCCGAGGCGTCCAGCGGGTAGGCGGGGCTCGGGTTTCTCGGTAGGGGACCAGGAAGTGAGGTGGTCGGGATCCCAGGCACTGGTGGAGCGGGTCTGGAATGGGCACCTGGGCGGAGGAGGAGCTCGCGGGGAGTGGGTCAGGACTCTGGGGCGGAGGGGCCTGGAGACCGAGGTGCTGGGGCCCCCGGGAACTAGGGAGGTGTAGGTCTGAGGGGGAGGGGCTCGCGGGTCAGGGGGTCCTGAACCCCGGAGAGAGACCCTGCACCAGAGGTGTTCGGGATCCCAGAGGGTGGCATAGGTGGATGGGGTCGGAGTGGAGAGGCGGAGGTCAGAAGTGCTGGGGAAGAGGTGGGAGCCTGGGAAGGGGTGAAGGTCGGAGGGCGCTGTGTGTGGAGGTCGGGCTTGCGCGGGAGTTCGGGATCGGCCATGAGCACCTGAGAGAGGTTTGTAAATGGGGTCAGTTGAAATGCTGCGGCGCAGGGGAGCTGGGAATCTTGAACAGGCCCTCCCTCCTGGGTGTGTGCCAAGGCACCAGAAAGGTGCTCGGGTGTGTTTCGCTTCTGTGTTTCCGTGGATGGGATAGGTCTGGCACCAGAGCAACCTTAGCCGCCCAGCTGGAGGGTTTGGGTGGGAGGGGCCCTGTTGGGGCCACTTGAGGCGGAATTTCTGTTTTTGGCCATGCATCTGAGGTGCCTGCAGGATATGCTCAGTTTTGACTTGGCTGGGCGTTCTGTCAGGAGTGTGACCCAGGAGACCCTAACAGCTGATGCAGATAGCAGTTCTGTCCAGCTGGCCTTGCCAGGCTAGGCTAGGCTGTGGAGAGGGAGGGCTGACTAGTCCATTTCTGAACTACAGTGAGTCACCCACTCCAGGGCCTTGAGTCAGTGCTCCTTCTCTCTCTGAGTAGGGAAAGTATGTCAGAAGAAATTGAAGAAACAAGGAAGCAGCCTTAGGTTTTAGGGACTTTGAGGTATGCAGGAGTAAAGAGCTGGGGGATACAGAGCTGTTGCTCATATCAGGTCTCCAGTAATTGTAAGTTTATCCTGTCTAATGATGACATCCTTTTTTTTTTCCTTTAGTGCTGGAGTTTTTTAACCTGGGGCCTTGAGCATGCTAGGCAAGTGCTCTACTACCTCCCCAGCCTTAAAAACATTTTTTTGAGACAGGGTCTTCTAATTTGTGCAGGCTGGCCTTGAATTTGAAATTCTGCTTCAGCCTCCCCCCTGAGTAGCAGGACTACAGGCATGTGCCACTGTGACTGTTGAAAGCTGACTTTTAATGGGACCTGTTTTTAAAGCATTTTACATTTAGAGTAAACAGACTTGGTGATTCAGACATTTGACCTACCCCATGCAGTAGGTGCTCTGGCATGTGGTTGAATGTGTGCTTCCTTACCAGTGCCTTTAGTGCCCTGAGTCGCACTGTTCCTTGACCTGGGCAACTGATAGCAGCAGACCGAATGCCCATCAGCTTGTCTTTCCCTGGTGTCTGTGCCAAGCAAAGCCACTGCTCTCTGCTTAGGCATGAACCCAAAAGTATGTGCTCTGTTATAAGAGGCTTCCTCTGAGTAAGAGTGGGCCTTGTGACATCTACTGTGGCTTCAACAGATGCTTTTTTGCTCCTTTTTGGCTTTTTTCTGAGCTGTCTGCAGTGAAGTTCAGGGAAAGCTGATTCTGAATGGGTGCTTTTACCCCATGTCTTACAGCATTCTTTCCTAGCAGAGTTTTTCACCCTGTTTATTCAAGGCAGGATTATTTTGTCTCTCCACACTCGGGGGGGGGGGGGGCTTTTTTTTTTTTTTTTTTTTTTTTTTTTTTTTTTTTTTGCAAGAGAAGCTTGTATTAATGGTGTTTGGTGACAGTCTTATCTTTGAGCAGTAATTTTTTGTAACAGTTTTAATGAAATATAATTTGCATGCCATACCCTCACCCATTCAGAGTGTATAAGTCAGTGGTTTTCATTCTATTCTCAGAGTTGTGTGGCCCTCATCGCTATGCACTTTGGAACTGTGTCATTAATTCAGCAATCCTAGACTGGCTGCTGCTGTTGTCCCAGCTACTCAGGAGGATGCAGGATTGCTTGAGCCCAGCAGTTGGAGGCCAACCTGTGCAACATAGCCAGAGCCGTTCTTTATGTTTTTCAAAAGAAACCCTGTACCCCAGCCATCATTTCCCAGTCTCCCCTTCTTCTAGCCTGGGGCAACCATTATTGTACTTTTTGTCTCTGCAGGTTTGCCAACTCTAGATGTTTCATATAAATGGAATCATATTACTGTATGTGGTCTTTTGTGTCTGGCTTCATTCACATTGTAGCATGTATTATAACTTCATTCCTTTTTGTGGAGGAATGCTATTCCACTTGGTAACTATATCACATTTTATACATCTGTTTGTCTGTTGATGGATTTTGGATTGTTTCCACTTCTTGGCTATTATGAATAATGATGTTGTGAATATTCATGTACAAGTCTTTATATGAACTTGTGCATTGATTTCTTTTGAGTGTATACTTAGAAGTAGAATCTCTATGTCATATGGTAGCTGTTTAACCTTTCCAAGAACTGCCTGTTTTCCATTTCCACCAGGACTGAAGAAGGGTTCTAATTCTCTTATTACTATTTTTTTTTTTTTGATGCAGTGTTGGGGATTAAACCCATCCCATCAGGGCCTCACATAGCTAAGCGTATTCTGTACCACTGAACTACATCCCCAACCTCCCCCTGGGGCCCTGCCCCACTTTTTTTTTTTTTTTTTAATAAGATAGGAATCTCTTTGTCTTGTCCAGGCCAGTATTGAACTCCAAACTCACATGAGCCTCCTGCCTGAGCATTTGGAATGCTGGACCTAGTGGGCTACTGTGCCCAGCTCCTTTATCTGTTATTAAATGGGGGTGTGTATCTTTTCTTATTATGGAATTAAAAGAATTCTTTATATATTCTAGATATATACTTTGAAAATAGATTTCTCTCAGTGAGTCAGTCATCTTTTCACTTATGTCTTAAGCAGAGTTTTAACTTTTGTCCAGTTTGTTTTGTTTTTCTTTATAATTTTGGTGTTACATCTAAGAAACTGTTGTCAAATTTATGGTCTCAAAAAATTAAACCGATTTAAGACATGCATTTATTTACTTACTTATTTATTTGTGCTGGGGATTGTACCCAGCGCTTTGCACATGCTGGGTAAAGGCTGCACCACTGAACTACATCCCCAGGCCTAAATTAACTTTTGTGCATGGTATGAGGTGGGGGTCCAGAGTCTTTCACTTTGGATTAGAAGTTCATTTTCCAGTCAGTTGTTTTTTTGAGCTTTGAAACTTAATATGCTGATAGGATAATAAATGAGTGTAGGTTTCAGCCCATCACTAGCTGTCCTTGGGGAGATTCTTTTTGTTAGTACACATTTGCATTGATGACATTCAACACAGGGACTTAGTACGCGTGCATAACATATCTTAATTCTTTTTTTAACTTGCTCTTTGGGTAGATTTTTGAAGATGCACCGTGACTATACTTACAATGTAGTAGCCAGAGTGTACTAAGCAATCCACAGGGACTGCAGAAAGAGAAAGAGCAATAGCTGGGTCAGGACCTAGGTAGGAAAGTGAAGGCCAGTCAGGACCACACTCTTTCCTGGGTGGAGATCTAAGCGCTGGTTCAGGTTACTCTGCTGGGGCGTTTTGTTTTCCCCACAGTGTGTGCCATGGAGCAGTGTGGTGCCCATTGAGGCTGATGTGTGGTCTTGGGGACTAGGTTGTGTGTTGGTGGACTGGCCAGCATGTGGGCTGAAGTCCTGTTCCCTGTTCAGGAACTGCGTGGTCACTGGGAGTGCAGTCTGCTTCCTGTGGTCTCCATCTCTGCACACGTCTCTCATGTGGCTCATGTGACAGACAGTACCTACAACACTGGCCTTTCCTCCCAGGCTCATCACGGATCCCTTCAGAGAATGTTTCCCTTAAATCACTTATAAAAACTAACAATAATAGAACTGTATTGTTCTTAGCAGCATTGTGAATTAGAATAAAGAATGGAAAGGTACCAGGATTATAGCAGACAGGAAATGCAACTAAGGCAGTCATTTCTGTTTCCATTAAGTAATGCTGTGTAGTTGTCTTTTGAAACATGTCACTTTTAATTTTTTTAAAATTTTTATTAGTATACATTTGCAATACACAGTGATGACATTCTTCATGGGCAGTTGGTGCATGTGGGTAACATCTAAATTCTTTTTATGCGCCCCCCCCAATCTTTATTAAGTTCCTGTGTTGAGCTTTTTAATTAGTAAGATGAAGATCTTCCTAAAACCTTTTTATGCTGGGGAGGAGTCCTGAGGTACTCTACAAAGCTCTGGAAAGATACATTTGCCTAGAGGGCCTGGCAGCAGATGTCTGTTTTCACCCTTAATCTTTTTATACACAGAAGCATTCCAAATGTCTGGACACTCGGTATTGGCTTATTGTGTTTTAAGTAGAGTTTTGCAAGCAGCCATTCATCACTTGGGAAGAAAGTGTTGTGTATTGTGAACTTTTTAATGTTCTTTCCCCAGGGTCCTAAGGGTAAAACCACTTTACTGAAAAGGAGTGGGAAGTTGGAGGGAGAAGCACCAACAGTTTTCTGAAAAAATTTTCATTGTTGAAAAGCAAAAGTCAGGGGCTAGGAATGTAACTCAGTGGTCGAGTGTTTTCTTAGCAAGTACAAGGCCCTGGGTTTTAGGCTGAGTACTAAAAAAAGTTCAATTAAAAACTGAAGCCAAGCTGGTTGTGGTGGCACATGTCTGTAATCCCAGCATTACAGAGGCTGGGGGTCACTGTGAGTTCAAGGCCAGCCTGGACTACATAGCAAGACCCTGTCTCAAAAAAACCAACCAACCAAACAAACAAACTGAAGTCAAAGTTTTAGTGTTGCATCTGTCTTAGAAAAGGAAATTGCAGAAAGCTCGGGAACTAGGGGTAGGAGGCCTTTCTCAGGGGAGTCCTTCACCTCTTTCCCTTGTGTTCTGCATGTGGCAGGAACCACTAGGCCTGATGGTATAAAGCAGGTGGAACGTCTCCCCTCCTAGCTTGTGATGCTGGTCTGCAGAAAGATGATCCGATAGGCGTAACTCTTTTTCCTGATGAAACTGAAAGAGGCAGGCAGCTGACTATTGCATCATCGACTTGGGGTGAATGGAAGTTTTGGTGGCCCCACAGTGGCTCTTGTCCTTTCCAGTGACTAAACCTGTGGTTCCTGGATTTCTGCCTCTGGGCAGCTGCCCTGTGGAGGACAGTGTGTTGCTCAGGGCAGGAAGCGGCCATGCACACAGTGTAATTTTTCATCTGTGAATGGATGATTGGGACCAGACTGTCATGTCATGCCTCTCAGTGCTAAGGCTTGTTTATCTGCTCTTTAAAATCTGCCAAAGGCAAATCACAGCCGGGAAATTCTTTTTAGGGGGCTGGTGGGGCTCAATACAGTGCTTCATGTATGTTTATTTATTTTTATTAAGTTTATTGGTATAGTTTAGATACACATGATGATCACATTCATCATAGGGACTTTGTACCTGAACATAGCGTACCTTGATTCATTTTTTTCCATGTTCCCCTCGCTTCCCTTCAGTCCCTATACCCCTCCTTAGCTATTAGTCCTTTGATAAGAAACAATTGGCTATTTTTTTCCTCACTCTGTGAGTTGTCTCATTATTCTGTTGATTATTTCTTTTGGTGTGCAAAAGTTTTTTAGTAAGATGAGATCCCAGTTGTTGAATCTTTATATTTTCCATGTGATTACGTTTTTTTGTTTGTTTTGTTTTATTTATTTATTTATTTTCTTTGAGTTAGGGCCTTACTGTGTAGTTCACATTGGCCTTAAACTTATTATGTAGACCAGGTGGGCCCCTAACTCGTGGTGATCCTCCTTCCTCAGCCTCCCCAGTGCTAGGATTACAGGCATGTGCCTCCACTCAGAGTAATAGGTTTTGTTGATAGAGTCTTTTCCTACACTTGTGTCTTCAAGAGTTCTACCTGTTCTTTCTTCCAGCAGATTTAATGTTTCTGTTTTAATATTGAGGTCTTTGATCCATTTTGATTTTAACATCTGGGAAGTTCTTGTCATGCTTGGGCATCTAGAGGAGGTTCAAGGTGATTCTCATTTGAGGGGCATTGTATAGGTCCTGCCCACTGGTGGCAGATGGGTCTTCACCTAGAGGAGGAGGCAGGAGTCCCGTGTAGAGCTTGAGAGCAGTGCACCATCATCCCTCTCACCGCCATCTGGGATGTGGCCGTTAGACCTAGGAGACCTAGAATGGAAGCTTGGAAGGAGGTTCTCAGGCTGGGAAGGGCTTTTGTCCAGGAAACACAAGCTGCAAGAGCTGTTGTAGTGCTGGAGGAGGGAGGGTTGGAATTCTTAGTTCAGCCTGGGGCACAGCTTTGGTTGGTCAAATTAAAAATTATTTTAATTGGTACATCTCTCAGTTACTTTATAACCTCAGTGAAATTTTATGATTATTTTCATTCTCTCTGGAAAATGTATCCATTCTTAACAATTGTTTAAAAGCCCTTGAAGGTTTGAAGTTACAAACAGCATCTTATTGGTAACTGCAGATGCAGTCATTGTTCTCTATAACAACAAACCTTACAGAACCAACTTAAAGTGCTATGGATAAAGGTGACTGTTTTCTAAGCCTCCTAACATAGGAGGAGTTGCATCTTCTATGCTGTGCATTTGCCCCAAAACATGACAAGGCAGCCCTCTACTAAATGATTTGAAACATTTATTAAATCATTAAAGTACTTGAAATCAAAGAGTGGTATTTTTAAAAGATTTACAACAAGCTGAGCTCTTAATTCTCAGTTGTTTTTATCCCTACAGCTGTCATTTAGGTTTAGTGATGATGGAAGGGCGTTTGGTCATGTGGCTCCTGCCCTCCATGTGTCGCACTGGCATCGTGGTAACCTGGGCCTGAAGGTGGCTGTGCTTACTCTGTAACCTTGGTGCTGCTCTTTCAGATGTGGAAAGCATCAACAGCCTATGCTGTGTCCATCACCCAGGATGACAGAGGAGCTGACAACTGGGGGACCGACCCTGACTTTGTGGTAGGAGTCACCAGCCTGCCTAAGTGCAGAGATTGTAAGAAAACATTTAAGTGTAAAGCAGGCCTGGCTCATGGTCCACCAGGAACTACACACTGGAGGTGCAGTCAGTGTGGGAAAACATTCTCTTTATTGATATGTGAAGTCTCATGAGTATGAGAATTCATTCAAATGCAAGAAATGTGGGAGAATCTTCAGGTAGAATTCAGCCTTTTGAAAACATACTGAAGACATAAGAGAAATCCTACTACAGTGGAGAGTGAGGCAAAGCCTTTGCTGACTCATCAGAGTGGACTATTCATGAAAAACTTCATAGAGGTGAGAAACTCCCTAAGTGTTCTGAATAAAGAAGTCATTATTTTCTTAAACACTACTTCACTCACAGTAAAGCAAATAATTGTGATGTGTGGAAAATTCTGTAAATAGAATACTCATCTCATTTTCCATCTAAGTAGATGAAAGAATGAAATAAGCCTTAAATTTGCCTTGCAGCAAATAGCTTACAAGGAGAAAAACTACTAATTGAATGAGTGTGAAAAACTATGTTCTGAAAATGATAGTCTTAAGTGATATTACCGATTTTATTGAAAGATCATAGAAAATTTTGAGCTATAAATAGTTACTGTAGAATATAGACTTTTTTTTTAACCAGAAATTGAACTCAGGATCTTGTGCTTGCCAGATAGGCACTTATGCTGCTAAGCTATATTCCCAGCTGCTCTGTAGAATATAAAGCTTAGGAAATGGTGCAAAATTGCACAATCTGGCTTCAGATTGACTATAATTTATATATACACTGTTGTTGATTTGTGATTTTTATATAAATTATTGAAATGCCTGAATTACTTAAAAATGAGTAACGGTAGTTGTAAAATGTAGGTGTAAAATATAGTCTGTATACATTATATAAAAATTATATATCTAGATCTAGGGATGTAGCCCAGTATTAGAGTACTGCCTAGCAGATATTAGACCTTTAGGCCCCCCCAATACATATATATCTATAATGGTGATGGTTTTACAACATTGTGAATATACTTAGTGCCAATGAATTGTATTCTTAAAAATGGTTAAATTAATAAACCTTATATCTTACCACAAATTTAAAAATCCCAATTTTATCTTTCTCTTTTTTTTTTTTGTGACAGCATCTTACTGTGAAGCTCATAAGAGCCTTGAAAACTCCATGTGGCCCAACCTAGCCCTGAACTTGGCTGCAGTCCTCCACATTGGCCTCCTGAATGCTGGAATTATAGATGTGCACCACCACACCAGGCTCAAATTTTGTCTAAAGGGTTTAGTAAACATCTTTATTCTCTCATCTCAACACATCCTAAAAATCACAATTTATATAATTGTCACTTATAAGTAAAATAATACAGTTTATGTTGTATAAAAAATATGGTTTATGCAGTATGAAGTCTAATTCTAAGTTCAGTATTATGAGCTTCAATCTGTGTTTTGTGGCACTTGGCAATAAGCGTGGCAGTTATTACTGTGATAATTCAACTTTGGGTAGAAGTCAAAACTATGTAACATTACATAGTTTTCCAGTGTTTCTGCTCAGCTTTGAGCAGTATAGTTTCTTTGTATAGAACACTGAAATATATACATTTGTCTGTATATGTGCACAAATATATTTATTGAGTCTTGATTACAGGGCACTGAGGAAAGCAGTTGTGTTCTATAATATAAGCACTTATTGTAGAAAAAATGGCATTTTTTTCAGTTAAAAATAGGGAATATTCTAAAATATATAAAGAATTTTAAAAAATCAGACCCCCGAAATTCAAAGACCCAATCCAAAAATGGGCATCTGAGATAAATACACATTTCTCTAATGAAGAAATACAAATGGCAAATAAATACATGAAAAAATGTTCATCATCATTAGTCACTAAAGAAATGCAAATTAAAACCACACTGAGATTCCATCTTGCTCCAGAAAGAATAGCCAGGATCAAGAAAACTATCAACAACAAATGTTGGAGAGGCTGTGGGGAAAAAGGAACTCTCCTACACTGTTGGTGGGAGGGTAGACTGGTGCAACCATTGTGGTCGGTCTGGAGATTCCTCAAAAAGCTGGGATTGGAAGTCCCATTTGATCCAGCTATTCTGCTTTTAGGCATATTCCCAGAACAACTGAAAACATCATACCACAGTGATATATTTGCACCCACGTTTATAGCAGCACAATTTGTAATAGCTGGCTTGGAAACAACCTAAGTGTCCAACAACTGAGGAATGGATAAAAAAGTTGTTACTACTCAGCTATAAAGAATGATCACATTAGGGCTGGGGATTTAGCTCAGTGGCATAAGCGCCTGCCTGGCAAACGCAAGGTCCTGAGTTCAATCCCTGGTACTGCAAAAACAAACAAACAAAAAACAGCAAAAGAATGATCACATTGAGATATTTATAAATAAATGGATGCAACTTGAGACCATACTCACAAGCAAAATAAATCAAACTCACATTTATAAATACCGTATAGTCTCCCTAGTATACAAAATGGTAAGAGTACGTAAAAGTTTATGGTAATCATGATTCCCCATTACATTGCTTTGAAGCCTTACAATGTTTCCATTCATTAGTTGGAGTGGTTTTATCCTGGGTTGTTTGATTTTATTATTTGTGATGGTGTGAACAGCTATTTTGAAGAAAACAAGGCATTATAATAGCCAGTGCTGATTTAATGTCATCTTGTTTAGAAGTCCTACCAAACTTTTGTTCTTCTGTTTCCATTGATTCTATCATGTTGTATCTTATTGGGTTTTATTATGCGTGGTAGTATAAACAGATTTTTTATGGACAATGAGAAAATATAGTAACCATTGTTAGTTTTCTGTTATTTGGTTCTGAACGCCCTGTAATACTTTCACTCTCCTGGTTTTATACTACTTTGTTATTTTTGATACTATTGTGTATGAAGGTATGCCCAGCTATTTCAAGGAAAGAGACACTATGGTAGCTACTGTTATATTGGGGTGTCTTGTGGTGAAATACTATGTTGCTTAAATTGTTTTGTTCTGATCTGCTTTGTTATGTCCTCTTTTATCTTAATCTCTTTAAAATAAAATTTAAAAAAAATAGGGAATACAACCTGTTCTGTTTCACTGTAGCTACACATGTAGCAGTAAGCCTTAGTCAAACAAGTAACTGGTTGTGCTCATATATAGTTTACAAGAATTGACTATACTTTTCAGTGACTTTTGGAGGAAAATCACTTGGTATTCTTTGTTTTTGGAAGTTAATTCAAGCCGGGCGTGGTGGCTCACGCCTGTAATCACAGCACCCGGGAGGCTGAGGCAGGAGGATCATTGCAAGTTCGAGACCAGCCTGGGCTATAAAGTGAGCTCAAGGCCTACTTGAACTGTATAAAGAGACCTAGTCTCAAAAAGACCAAAAAAAAAAAAAAAAAAGTTAATTCAAAGTTGAGGCAGGAAAATCATTGCAAGTTTGAAACCAACCTGGGCTACAAAGTGAGCCCATGGCCAGGCTTAATTCCATGGCAAGACCCTGTCTCAAAAAGACAAAGACAAAAAAAAAAAGTTAATTCAGAGATGAAACAGGTTTAGTTGGAAATTTGTATATGACTAACACAGGTATCATATCAAGTTACTTGAAAAGCGTCAATTTTTCTGTTTCTTTAAGCTATGTAATTTTTTTTTTTTTTACTGGAATTGGAAATGAAACCCAGGGCCTTTGCACTGGGCCACATCCACAGCCCCTTTTTATTTTTTGACACAGTGTCTTGCTGTATCACCATGTTGCCCAGGCTGGCCTTGAACTTGAAATTCCTTTGTCTCAGCATCCCAGAGTTTTAAGTTTTTTATAATTTGATGTTGTGGGGCTGGAGGTGAAGCTCAATTGTAGAGTGCTTGCATAGCATGCACAAGGCCCTGAGTTCAAGCCCCAATACTGCCAAAAAAAAAAAAAAAACAACTTGATATTGTGGAAGCTCATTGTATTCACTTTAGTGATACATGAACTAACAGTGATTTAAGTGAAAATTTTGAATTTCACTTAAGGATTGCTTAATTTTAAAAAATTCTTTAACCTTTTTCTTCAGTGGTTGTAGAACTTAGGTATAGCAGTAGCTTCAACCTAATTTCACAAAATGAAGTTTTAGGGTTTGGGCAAGGTTATTTTTTATTTTGGGGATTTTTTGAGACAGGATCTCACTAGCTCAGACTTGGTTCAAACTCTTAGTGATCCTCCTGCCTCAGCCTCCCAAGTGCTGAGATTACAGGCATGTACCACTATGCCTGGCACAAAATCAACTTCTTCAAGCATAAATTTTGGATTAAATGGATAAAAGTACAAATTTCAGTTGTTTTTCACTTAACCATTTTTGGAGGGTGATGGTGAGTAGAGACTTAACTGATTTTCTGAAAATCAAAATTCAAAAGTTTAAGCTTTGTCTTGTTCCTTTAGTCCTATGACAGTATGCTGCTTAAATGTCATACCACCTCGCTCTGGCATCCACAAATTATATATATACTAATAATAAATATGGAGTTTTGATATTCTTAAATTACTTTATAAACTAATACCATCTCATAAAAATGTCTTCAAGTAAGTCTAGAAATCAATTACAGTTAGTAAAGCAATGAATATATTTACTTGGTGTGAGAGTTATCTTTCTTCAATCTGATTTAGAACCAGTCCAGAGTATTTAAGGTCAAAATGACTTTTTTCAGTATCAAAGTTCCCTGTCCTCCATACTTTTCTCCCTGGAAGGAGAGGGAGACGTCATTTCTTCGTCACACTGATCTCTCAGTTTAGCACCTAACAGCTCACAACAAAGCAGCTGTCTTCTCTTATAGTAAGAGAAGGGAGGAAGGACAAGACCTGCTCCCCTAAAAAAGCTAGAGAGGGTAAAAGAAGGCAAGCAAAATGGAATTCTAACCTAAATTTGGAATTGACATCCCATCACCTTTGCTGTATTCCATACGTTAGAGTCAGTCACAGCCTAATGTTGTGACCCCAGTCTGTAGTCTCAACTACCTGGGAAGCTAAGTCAAGTGTGGATCTTGGAGTTGGAGGTTGACGTGGGCAGCAAAATAAAACCTCAAATCAAAAAAAAAAAATTGTAAAACATACTGCAGATCATACTTAAGGGAGATTACCTAAGACTAGACTTAGGCAGCTTTTGCCTGGACGCCAGCGCTGTGGACATGATGGGGGTTGCGCTCCTGCCAGTTCCTTTGGGCCACCACCTGCCTGATTGTGGTGTGCCTGCAGCTTGCGTTCTCTGTGAGCCCCACCATCATCATGACCCCAAATGGGACAGTGATTGTGAGTTCTGAGCCTACCAAGATAACCTTCACAACTGCAATGTCTGCTCTGCCGACCACCACCTCTGCACTAGAAACCTGTGAACACCACAAAAACATTTTTCTGTTTTAATTCAAGTATTGCTAATACTACTTGCTATAGGATAGAATGTAAAGAAGCAAGTAAGAGCTACTGTTCTGGTAATTTGACAGTAGTTGTAGCATGGTGAACAACACTGCCTTGTGTTCTGTGCCTACTACGATTGTTCCAGTGCCAACCAATGCAACACCTAAAACCACAGCTCCACCTTCCCCTTCCACCCCAACCACAACAGGTGCAGCAAATACCACTTGGACTCCAACCTTCGGACCTGTGAGGAAGTCTACCTTTGACACAGCCAGTTTCATTGGTAGAATTGTCTTTGTGCTGGGTATACAGGCTGTTAATTTTCTTTCTGTATAAATTCTGCAAATCTAAAGAACAAAATTACCATACTTTGTAAATGGACATATTAAATTACCAGACAGACAATTCATTTGTGTAACTCACTGAAACCAAAATACTATCTTGCAAGAAGTCCCACATGAAAGATGCTATTCCAAGACCTTTAAATTTACAAAAGTTGCATAGCATAGTTTGGAGCATTATCCCTAAAGAAAAGTCAGTTAAGTCATTTTGCTCAAAAGAATATTTATAAAATATTCTACATGAATCCTTGGGGCTATCTTATTTTAAATGGTTGCTGCTATGGGATTATGTTTCTTTTCTTGACATGCCAAATATAACTTTCTGTAAGAGATGGAAAATGTTGTCCTGTGCAGACAACCTTTTGACTCTTGGCAGATTAAATTTAGTCACCATAAAGCCTGAAAGCTGCATTATTTTCATCTTAACTCAAGATGTTACTTAGTGGCCAGAATTGCGAAGTGTGCGAAACAAGCATCAGTAGGGTAGATTTTTGACTAGCATTTAAGAAGTAGAATTAGGGGCTCAGGATTTACCTCTGTGGCATAAGTGCCTGCCTGGCAAGCACGAAGTTGTGAGTTCAATCCCTGGTACTGAAAAGAAAAAAAAGGGGGGAATTAATCTATTTAGGAGTACTAAATTGTATCCTTAGAATAAAATTTTGTGCTTGGATGTTTTTTTCTACATTAGAGATAAGTTGCCACAATTGGAAAGGATACAAACCATTAGTGTGTAACAGGTTGTTCATATTTGTAAAGCATCTTATATCTTGGAAAACATAAAGAACAGTGCCTTAAAAGACAAATTGAAAAGTTGGCTGTAACATAAAATGTTTATGATTTGTTCTGAGGATATACTGTTGAATGAGCAGTAGTAAACCTACCGCTAGATATCAGACTGTTAATATTTAATTAAAAACATCTTTTTTCATAGCTGAGAAAGTTAAGCTACAGAGTCAAAAGCCTTGATATTGTGAACTTCCCAACATTTTTCTTAGAGATGAAGAGAGAGAAAATTAGATATCTTTATTTTTGTATTCAAAAAGATATATTAACATTACTGTGCCTTGAAAATATTTCTCCCAAACTTTCCTAGAAAATAACTTTTATGAGGCTATAAGAAAATACCTTGTAGAGTCATTTTTCTTTAAATGAGACAATCATTTTAAGTTTTCAGAGCAAATATGACTAGTGTAATTTCATCAATGCTATAGGTTTTAAGCCACGCATGGTGGCACATGTCTGCAATCCCAGCATTTGGGAGCCTGACGCTGAAGGATCTCCGTGAATTCGGGACCAGCCTGAACTAAAAAAAAAATCTGGGGTTTTGATCTAGTACCTATAAATTTTTAGTGATTATCCTTGGTAGATTGTGCTTTGTTCTTCTCTTTCCTTTATTTCAATTCCCATAGAACAATAGGCATGGATACTTTCATTTCTGTCATTCCTCATAAAGCTCCAGTTTTCTTAGTTTTAGGATGTTTATTCTTCCCTTGCTTGCATTAGATTAGTTCAGAGACATTAATTAGTTTAAAATAGGCTTTTAGTTTTCTAGATCATTATTTTATTTTTTCCCTTTAGCTCAGTTAAGCAGCTGGTTTTCAGTATTTTATAGTAGGAAATGACATACTGCTTTGGTTCATTTCATAAATTGAAACTTTGTATTGAGGTGATTATATTAAAGGTTCTCAAAGTGAAGTTACCATTTCTTTGTCACTTGCTGGTACAGTTAAACAGCTAAAGTTTGTTTTACATGAATTTTGTACATATACCTAATGTTTTCAAGTGCCTTAAGTGTTTAAATCTCTGGCTTCAAAAGATTTTTGGAAAACAGTCTTACTTCACAATTTTGTGTTTCTATGAGTAGTGATATGTAAGGTACTTCACAAAATTTATTATGGTTCCATGGCTGTTAGTATTTAGTCAGTGCTGTAAGCTTCATTTGAAAATACACAGAATTTCCATCCTCACAATGTAGCAAAAGTGAGCTGCAGTGGTGTAATTGTCACTTAGGCACTGGTTGCCACACATTAATGTAAGCATATATAAGAAATTTTGTGGAAATAATTGGAAACTTCTGTAATTTTGAGCACTCCTCTGACAACAAAACCATAAGAAGTTAGATTTTTTTTTTGGTACTGAGGATCAAACTTACAAGCTCACGCTTGCCAGGCAGGCGCTTAGGCTACTGAGCTAAATCCCTGGCCATGAAGTTAGATTTTGCAAGTCTGTAGAGGAACTCTTGCAACAGAATTCACAGCCTGTTTTTTTCCTCCCTTCCTTTTACCAATGTAGTATCTTTTTTTTTTTATTCACAAGAGATACTAAGGCAGCCATTGTTGATTTTCCTATTGCCTGGTTTTGAAGGCCTATAATGCCTTCATCACTCTCTTCTGATCAGTTTAATACTATTTTGTTTTGTATGAATTCATTGTGTGTGAAGATATGGACAACTGTTTGGAAGAAGACAGGGGATATTATGGTAACTATTCTATTATCTTGCTTTAAAATCTGTGGCACATTGTTTTCTTCTGATCTATTTTGTTCTGTTTTGTTGTGTTCAGTTTTACCCTCTTTAAAATAAAAAAAGCAATGTAGTATCTTTAACCAATAATTTTTGGGTTTGTTCTGATTTGTTCATGCTGATATGTTAGGTTCCCCCACCCCCACCCCCGTCTGAGACACATCACACTCGCCATGACAGTGGTTCAAAGCTGTGCACTGATAATGCATATCTCCTTCTTCCCAGAAGCCCCTATAGTTTCTCCCTCCCAAAAGTCCACCAAAGCTCAGGCATGCAAGGTTAACCCAATCCCTGGCACTCTCTCAAAATAAATCAGCTCACATCACTCCCCAGAGCCCTACCCCCAATCAGAGGCTGTATCAGGCAGAACCTGCCCTTTGTCTGCAGGAAGAACCACCACAGCCTTCCTTGTGGTGACTCCCTCTGTGCCGCCCTCATTAAACTCTTTTCTTATCTACTTGCTTCCTCTCTTTATATTCTGTGCTGCTCTAGATTGAGTATAAATCAATCAATATAGTTCTGTCAGATACCTTATTTTACCTTTCAGATACTTATTGCACAGGCGGACATTGCTGTATTTAGAAATTTCTATTTCAGTTCATCAAAAACCTTAAAATCAATCTGTATCAAGTACCGAGCTGATTTAAAATAAATCTGCATGTTTATTAAAAAAAAAAAAAGGATTCACAAACTAGAAGGAAAAGATCCCTGGGGGCCATTTTAGCGGTTGCTGCCACCTTGAACATGACAAGCTACCAAGCAGAGGAAAAGAAACATGGCAGATTGTGCATTTGCTCTTAAATGTTTCTTTTTGGAAGTATACACATTACTTTGCTTACATTTTGTGCTCAAATCATACACTCTCTGCTAACAGCGAGAGGAAAATGCAGTTCTCTGTGTACACAACCCAGAATATTTGTTAATAGTGCTAATGACTATCGCTATGGTGCAAACATGGAAAAATAGTTTAAAAATTAGGACACGGATATAGCTCAGATGCATAAGCGCGTGCGTGCCTGCCTGCCAAGTGCAAGCGCCTGAGTTCAACTCCTACTACCAAAAAAAATTTTTTTTAATTTACATTTTAATTTACATCATATATAACACATGATGTAGCCATTAGGCGGGGCTTGTCTTTTAGGTTAATTAGAATCAACACATCAAGTGCCCCACACTGTAAAAAGGGTCAAAGATAATTCAGGGCCTGATAACCTCTTCACTTCCGTAATTTATTAAACAGGCCCGAGCTGACCTCTATCCTCAACCATCTTCCCAGACCTGCTCTGGCAACACCAGTTTTTTCATGGAAGTAGAGGACCGGGGGACAACGGGGCGGGGGAGGGAATTAACGGAACCGTGAACAGACTTTGTGCAAGGCTGCCAAGGCATTTTTCTCCAAAAGCCAAATAATGCCAAGAAATTGCCCCAAGATTTGGGATCCTTGCAAGGATTTTGGAAGCCTGTTAGAAACGGAAGCAGCCATTGTACGGTGGTGGTGGTGGTGGTGAGGGGTGGGCAGAGGGGTTGAGGCCACACCCCGGTGGTGTGGGATGCCCTTCAGAGAACTGTAGGAAGGACTTGCCACCTGCCTTTGAACCCCTTCCCCGAGAGCACGTGCAGGTCCCTGTGAGCCAGTGTGCAGAACTTCAAACAGGTCCCCCGGGCAGATGACAGGCATCGGTTCTTCCTGCCTTCTTGGCCCCCAAACTCTAATACGCTTCAAACTCGTCTCAGTTCTTGAGGCGCGGGCTCCATCCCGCCCCCCTCGCTCCTTCAGGACCCCTGAACATTGTTTGTCCTGAGAAGAAGCCGTCCGACTCCCACTGGAAGAGCCTAAAGGTGAAAAATTTCTCAACTCACGTGAATCACTTCCTTAGGCGGCCACGTGCCGCAGCGTGATTCCAGTGTATGGGGCGGGGCGAAGGGGGGCGCAGGGCCTTGTGGGGCGGCTAGACTCATCGCGCAGGCGCAGTGCCGTCGCAGGCGGGGTTCCTCTGCCCACCAGGTGAATGGGTGACACTTCTGCAGCTACTAGCGGCTGGGTTGAGTTTCTATTAGCGCAATAGGTCAGCAGAAGATGGAAATTAGAAGGCTGTGGTCAGAGTTGTATGAAGCTTGAAACACGAAATCTGTCCCCAGGTGATAGTTTCTAAGAGTGTGGCTCCCGCAATCCGGGGGTGGATCGATTCCTCCCAGGTTCTCTAAAGCAGTCCCTTCACCCAGCTCTGCTTGCCAAGTAGCTCTGGGACTCCTGTCTCCTACTCCAGCTTTAATTTAGCAGCTCTGTGCCTGCTGGTACAGCTCTGTACCTTCTGGACTGTGAGCATTCCCAGATTGGGGCCACCATTGTGGACTCGGAGCGATGCAGGTCAGTCGCTAGTCTCCTTCACAGAGCAGCGTGTGCGGCTGCTTTCGCCCTTTCTGTGCCAGGTTTCTCATTCAGGGTTGTATGTCCTGTGTCCAGAGGTCCCTAGCCTGAATGATTGCAGGTATGTATAACAGGAGTTTAGTGTAACTTTGAGCCCCATCTGGTTTTCTGACTGGCCCGCCCGCTGCTGGGGTGGGGGGCGAGAGGCTTGGGACGCACAGAGATTTGGGGCCCAGGAAAAAGATGCCAGTCAAAACAGGAACAAGCAGTACTCTTGTGTGTGTGTGTGTGTGTGTGTGTGTGTGTCCTTTTCTTTTTTATCAGTACCGGGGATTGAACTCACGACCACACATTTACAAGGCAGGCGACAAGCAGTAAGTACTCTTAAAAATAAAAGCTGTAGCTCCCGAGGCAACTGGATCTCGTGTTCAGAGGACATACGTGTGATTTGAGACCTTCTAAAGCTAGTGAGCCAAAGTTGGAGGCCGGAGCAGGAGCTGGAGCAGGAAGAGGTTCCTGCAGCTGCCAGGTCCTTAGACGTTCTTTGGATGCGTTGGCTCTAGTGACCACATTCAGAGAATGGGGACAGCCACAGAAGATTTGTCTCAGAATAGAAGGAAAGACTCACTTAAAATGAACAGTCTGTCGTGTGAAGACAAGACATCATAGGGCAAAGGCAAAAACAGTTGTTCCTTGTGAAAAGCTGCAAGGCAGGCCTGGTCTCTAATGGCTCCTTTCTCCTCCAGCTCTGCCTCCTGTCACCCTGGCTTTGCCCAAGAGGAAGAAGATATGACTAGTTTCCTAGTTTCCAGGTGAGATGAAGTTGTCTTTCTCAGTCCAGAATGTATCTGTTCTTGAATGGGGGTGAGGGGCTGGGGGACTGAGGGGGGGGGGTAATCTGATGTGGCAGAGCATGCCTGTAATCCCAAAAGAGGCAGGCTGAAGAAGGAGACTGCAAATTTAAGCCTGGGTGGGTGACTTAGTAATATCCTAACTAAAAATAAAAGGGCTAGGGCCAGGTAAGAAGGCCCTTGACTCAAACTCCTGTACCGCTATCCCCAAATCTTTCTGTCTTAGCAAAAGAGAAAGGAACCAACATTTATGGATTTATGGACACTTGCTGCGTGGTAGATACACCTAACATTGATTTATCTTCAATACAACAGTGAAAAGTGGATATTATTTCCCATTTACAGATGTAACAACTGGCTCAGTAAGGTTAAGAAACTTGTCATATGCTACCAAGCTTTTTTTTTTTTAAGAATAAGAGTTCTTGTTCCTCGAAGTCCAAGAATGAATTCTAAGAAACTGTGGAGATTAAGAGTAAAAATTTTATGAGAATAGGAATGGGAGCAACTATCTCTAAGATGATAATAAGTAATCTATTAATTGGTGATTTCTTACTGTTTTTTTTTTTTGTAGTTCTGTATTACTTGTACCCTTACACTGCTTTGTTTTGTTTTGTGTTTTTCTCTTTTTCCTTTTAAATAAAATTTTAAAAAAAAAGAGAGAATAGGAATGGGGAATAGGAATAGCTTCTGAGAGACAAGGAGGAGTCCTGAATGGGTTGCCCACTACCAAGCATTTAAATGGTGGAGTCAATATTCATCTCTAGGGACTGGGGATTTAGCTAAGCGGCATAAGCACCTGCCTTGCAAGCAGGCAGTCCTGAGTTCGATCCCCGGTACCAATTTAAAAAAAAAAAAGATTCATCTCTAGGTCAGTGCACAAATGTTTCTACATGGATATTGAGTTTAAATTGTCCATATCTAGATGACTGGCCCTTGTATGTGAAATTAAGGTCTCCAAAGAGAATCCTTTCTCTTACCTGGTGCCCTCATAAAGATTTGCCCTTAACAGGTTGCTCCTTGGTTTTTTCACTTAGTTATGGCTACTCTGTGCTCATTTATATGAGCAGCACAAATAGAATTGGATACAATTCTTTAATATATGGGATTTCATTGGAAGAGGTAATACATAGATGTATTAAATAGTGATTACTATTTTTTTTTCTGTCTTTTTGCTTTTTATCGGTACCGGGGATCGAACTCACGACTGCCTGCTTGCAAGGCAGGCGCTTATGCCGCTGAGCTAAATCCTTAGCCCCTTAAATAGTGATTACTATTCATGTGTACATTAAAATATAAAGAAATACTCACTGGCACTTTGAGAAAGGCACTCACTAGTGTCAGTGTTAGAGGGGAGCAATCTAGGGACTGGATTAAGGATGACTTCATGAAGGAAGTAAGCTTTTATATCATTAAAATTAGTACATATTTGTGATGCATAATGAATACATTCATGGGGAGTTGTTGGTACATGGTATCTTAATCATTTTTCTTTCCCCTTGCCCACCCCCCTCCAGATCACTGTAAAAGATCTATCTTCCTATTTCCGGGTGTGTATCTTTTATTTTGTTTATGTTTTTGTGTATCTTTTATTTTACTCTTTAAATTACTTATACTTCAGGTGTCACGTAAGAGAAAGCATATAATATTTAAATTTCTGTGTTGTATTTTACAAGGCATAATCTTAAAGTGCATCCATTTTGTACAAATGATTTGAATATATTCTCTTGCATTATGGCTGAATGGTACTCCATTGTGTATATATACCACACTTTCTTTATCTGTCTGTTGATGGACGTATAGGCTATTTCCATGATTTAGCTGTTATGAATTGTACTGCTATAAACATGGAAATGAATAACTATAATGTAATGTTTTTAATTCTTTCAGGAATATGCCTAGAAAGAGAGTATCTGTGTTGAATAGATTTCTATTTTTTAGGTTTTTGAAGAATCTCCAATGATTCCATACTAGGTGAACTAGTTTACATGCTTACCATCAATGTAGAAAGGTTCCCAAATTTGCCAGAATTTGTTTTTGGTTTTGGTACTAGGAATCGAACTCAAGACCTCGCACTTGCCAGGCAGGCACTGTACCACGAGCTATATTACCCAAAAGCCCTAGCTTTTGTTGTTTGTTGAGTTATTGATGATAGCTATTGTTTCTGGAGTAAGATGGAATCATTGTGTTTTGATTTGCATTTTCATGGCTAAAGATGTCGAGCATTTTTCCGTGTACTTACTAGCCCTTTGTATTTTTTCTGTAAAGTGTATTTATTTCAGTTGCCCATTTTTTATTGCATCTTTTATTGGGGACTCTCATTTTTTTGAGTTCTTTATATGTTGTAAGTAGTAATCCTTTGAGGAGTAACTGGCAAAATTTTGTCCACATTCTGTAGACCTTCGTTTCACACTGTTAGTTGTTTGTTTTAATTTGATGTTTGTTGATTCTTTTTTTTTTTTTTTTTTTTGGTACTGGGGATCAAACTCACAACTTTGCACTTACCAAGCAAGTGCTTGAGCCATTGAACTAAATCCCTGGCCTATATTTGTTGATTCTTAATGTTATTTCTTTTCTTTTTATTTTAAAGAGGGTAAAATCAAACAGAACAAAACAGATCATAAGGAAACAATTTTAAGAAACACGGATTTCAAAGCAAGACCATTATAGATCTTCACTGTCTATCATATTGTCTCTTGTTTTCTTCTAAATAGTTGTCCACATCTTCACACACAGTGGATACATAGTGAACATTGTAGTACTAAACTAATCAACAGGATGATGAAGGCTTTTTAGGTCAAGAACAGACAATAGGGAAGTCAACAATGGCTGCCATAATGTCTCTCGTTCTCTTCAAAATGGCTGTCCATTTCTTTACGTATATTAAAATTAAACATAAGAGACTAGACTAATATCACTCTGAACAATGAATAATAGTATTGCTAAATTTTATATCATAATGCTACATAATTAGCACTGGGTATCTTAGTGTCTCTTCTTCAAAGTATCTGTTCATTACATCGTGCATTATATAATCTGTTCCCATAAACTATTTAGAAATTCTCCACATGTGTGACTCTCTACATGTATACCTATACTTTCTGTATTATAGGGAAAAACAGATCAAATCAAGACAACAGGACAAATTCCTAGAAAAACATGAAATGAAAAAGACATAAAACCACAATGTTAGGTGGTCTATAGTAGTAGTTACTATGCTGTCTCTTGTTATTTTCAATAGAATTGTCTACATCATCAGACATAATATAATTGAACATAGCAATTTTAATAAAAACACAACATTGGAGACATTGTAGGACTTCAAAAGCAGTTAATAATCAAACCAGAATTGGTATCTTATTACATCTGCCATCTTCAGAGTAGTTGCCTGTACTCTTAGACTTGATACTATCAAGCATACCAAATTAAAATAAAATCACTCAAGACAGAACAGCAGTCTAACCAGATTCAAGTAAGATCAGTCATAGTAAGACATCGTAAGTAATATAGGGCTTCAGTTTAAGTTAATAGGAAATTAAGGATAGTTACCATAGTATATCCTGCTATTTGGGGGATAGCTGTCTGTGCCCTCAAATCTAGTATGAGTAGACAGACTGGAACAAAATAAAATCAAACTAAACCGAGCTATAAGACTAATACGGCTTTTAAATCCTGATACACTATGAACAATGTCCCCTGCCTTCCTTTTTTAGACAGTTCCTCCCCCCCTTTCTCAGGGTGCTTTGTATATTTTGGGTCGCATTAACGTCTCTAGTTTTTAGATTAGGGGGCAACCTGTTATCTGTCTAAGTGCTGTTGAACCTTTTTACCCCTAAGCTTGATTTTGAGCTGTATTCGTTTACTTACTAAAGCCTCAAGGTTTTCCTTCCTTATAGCTGAGTACTTCTCCACTGTACAAAAGTGCCATGACTTTCCAACCTATGTGCAGCTGCTGGACGAGTTGTCCCTATTTCGCTGGTTCCCTGTCACATAGAGCATCGTTTTCTCATCTTTGACTTTTAGTTTATTAACCCTCTTTCAGGTTGAGTATATATATATATATATATATATATATATATATATATATATTTGTCTTTTTCTTTTTTATTGGTACCAGGGATCGAACTCACGACTGCCTGCTTGCAAGGCAGGTGCTTATGCCACTGAGCTAAATCCCCAGCCCTGAGTATATTCTCTATACAGAGCATCTCAATGGATCCTTATGCTGTGCCTGTTTCTTTTTGTTAGTCTATCAAGGCCATCTATATTAGAGATTATAGCCCACCTTCTCTGTCTCATCTCTGCTATTCTATTTTTCCGCTATTATTTGGCCACTTTTCTCCTTCATTTCACTGCCTGCCCCATTCATTGAGGCTTCTCTGCCACTGTTGCTGGAATCCTGGTATTTTTTTCTTTCTCTTTCTAGAATGTCCTTCAGTATTTTTTGTAGGATTGGATTGGTGGTCACGAATTCCCACAGTTCCTCCTTGTCATGAAAACGTCTTGTTTCTCCATTAATTTTGAGAGAGAGTTTTTCAGGGTACATCAATCTGGGTTGGAGGTTATTTTCTATTAGGGCTTGGACTACTTCACTCCACGCTGCTCTTGATTTGATAGTTTGTGTTGAGAAGTCTGTCATTATTTTGATGAATTTTCTTTTATAGGTAATCTGTTTCTTTTGTCTGACCACTTTTAATATTGTGTTCTTGTGAATTTATGGGATCTTGACTATTATATGTCTGGGTATAGATCTGTTTTGGTTATAGTTGTCTGGAGTTCTATATGCCTCATTTATCTGGATATCATTTTTTTCCAATGCTTGGGAAGTTTTCCCTAATTATTTCTGTGAATAGCCTTTGTAATTCATTTGTGTTTACTCCTGCTTCTTTGCTCATGTTTTTTATTCATAAGTTATAAATCCTCTTGTCATTTTCTAGCCTTTGTATTGTTACTGCCTGGTTCCT